GCGAGCCTACTTTTCGACCCTCCGGAGCCCCAAATCATTGGAAAAAAACACAGTGAATCGCGACTTTCCTACCTTTTCGCGCATCTGCATCTTCTTTCTTCTGATCTTGTCTCTTCTGACTCTTCTCACCTCTGCTTTTCAACTGTCCATATTGTCGGAAGTTTCACTTCTAAACTTCCTTCGACCATTTACCTAGCATTTGCCTTTCATTTCCTAGCATTTATCTATCATTTTACCTACCAATTACCTAGCAATTACCTATCATGTCCTATCGTTTATCTATCATTTTACCTACCATTTACCTTGCATTTACCTATCATGTCCTATCAAGTATCTATCATTTTACCAACCATTTACCAAGCATTCACCTATCATGTCCCATCATTTGTCTATCAGTTTACCTACCATTTACCTATCATTTCCTATCATGTATCTTAAATTTTACCTATCATTTCCTATCATTTATTCATCATTTTACCTATTATTTACCTAGCATTTACCTAGCATGTCCTATCATTTATCTACCAGTTTACCTATCATTTCCTATCATTTCTCTATCATTTTACCTACCATTTACCTAGCATTGACCTATCATTTCCCATCATTTATCTATCATGTTACCGACCATTTACCTAGCATTTACCTATCATTTAGCTAGCATTTACCTATCATTTCCTATCATGTATCTATCATGTTACCTACCATTTACCTATCATTTATCTATCATTTTACCTACCATTTTACCTATCTTGTCCTATCATTTATCTATCATTTTACCTAGCATTTACCTATCATTTACCAAGCATTTACCTATCATGTCCTATAATTTATCTATCATTTATCTATGAGTTTACCTACCATTTACCTAGCATTTACCTAGCATTTACCTATCATGTCCTATCATTTCGCACCATTTATCAATCATTTTACCTGCCATTTACCTTGCGTTTTCCTATCATTTCCTATCATTTATCCATCAGCTTATCTACCATTTACCTCTCATCATTTTACCTACCATTCACCTAGCATTTACCTATCATCATTTATCTATCATTTTACCTGGCACTTACCTATCATTTCCTATCATTTATCCATCATTTTTCCTACCATTTACCTAGCATTGACCTATTATTTCCTATCATTTATCTATCATCTTACCTACCATTTACCTAGCATTTACCTATCATTTCCTATCATTTATCTACCATTTGTCTATAATTTTAGCTACCATTTACCTAGCATATACCCATCATTTCCTATCATTTATCTATCATTTTACCTACCATTTTACCTATCTTGTCCTATCATTTATCTATCATTTTACCTAGCATTTACCTATCATTTACCAAGCATTTACCTATCATGTCCTATAATTTATCTATCATTTATCTATGAGTTTACCTACCATTTACCTAGCATTTACCTAGCATTTACCTATCATGTCCTATCATTTCGCACCATTTATCAATCATTTTACCTGCCATTTACCTTGCGTTTTCCTATCATTTCCTATCATTTATCCATCAGCTTATCTACCATTTACCTCTCATCATTTTACCTACCATTCACCTAGCATTTACCTATCATCATTTATCTATCATTTTACCTGGCACTTACCTATCATTTCCTATCATTTATCCATCATTTTTCCTACCATTTACCTAGCATTGACCTATTATTTCCTATCATTTATCTATCATCTTACCTACCATTTACCTAGCATTTACCTATCATTTCCTATCATTTATCTACCATTTGTCTATAATTTTAGCTACCATTTACCTAGCATATACCCATCATTTCCTATCATTTATCTATCATTTTACCTACCATTTACCTAGCATTGACCTATCATTTCCTATCATTTATCTATCATCTTACCTACCATTTACCTAGCATTTACCTATCATTTCCTATCATTTATCTACCAGTTTACCTACCATTTACCTAGCATTTATCTACCATTTTACCTACCATTTACCTAGCATTTACCAGTCATTTACCTAGCATTTACCCATCATTTCCTATCATTTATCTACCATTTTACCTACCATTTACCTAGCATTTACCTATCATGTCCTATAATTTATCTATCATTTTACCTACCATTTACCTAGCATTTACCTATCAGTTATTTACCAGTTTACACGATCATTTCCTTTCATTTATCTATCATTTTACCTACCATTTACCTAGCATTTACGGATCATTTACCTAGCATTTCCTGTCATTTATCTGTCATTTTACCTGGCATTTACCTATCATCATTTCACCTAGCATTTACCTAGCATTTACCTGGCATTTACCTAGCATTTACCTAGCATTTACCTAGCATTTACCTAGCATATACCCATCATTTCTTATCATTTATCTATCATTTTACCTACCATTTACCTAGCCTTTACCTATCATTTCCTATCATTTATCTATCATGTTAGCGACCATTTACCTAGCATTTACCTATCATTTACCAAGCATTTACCTATCATGTCCTATCATTTATCTATCATTTTACCTACCATTTACCTATCATGTCTCATAATTTATCTCATGTTACCGACCATTTACCCATCATTTCCTATCATTCATCTATCATTTTACCTAAATTGTCCTAGCATTTATCTATCATTTCCTATCATTTATGTATCATTTTACCTACCATTTACCTATCATTTACCTATCACTTATCTATTATTTTACCCACCATTTACCTAGCATTCACCTATCATTTCCTATCATTTATCTATCATTTTACCTACCATTTACCTAGCATTTACCTATCTTTTACCTATAGTGATGGATTGGAGCAAGCCTATCATTTCACCAGCACTTCCCGCCGTTGCCTGGATGGTGTGCTTGAGCTCCGTGGAAATGGCGTCCATCTCAGTGGGCAAAGTGATCTTCATGATATTCCTGGCGCCCAACTTCTATCTTCGATGGTTTTTTTGGGCAGAAGCCTTTTTTTAGAATGTATAATATTTTTTTTAGATCATATTCCAAATCCCATCCAAACACAAATAAAGCATAGATGGTATAGATTCTTAGGTTTTAACCACATTAAACGATGACCAGGGAGGTGTCCTGTGAGTTTCGCTGCTTCGCTGGAGTGTTCCATGCTGGATTCTGTTGAAAAAAATATGTTGCTTGAGCAATAATAAATGACCATTTCAATCCCAGTCATGTTGAATCCTCATTCTGCCGTTGGTTTCAAACCTTTCTGCTGACGCACCGGTCGCCGTCCCAGCGCCACGAGGCCGTCCTTTGGCCGCTGTCCACCACCACTTCCTCCGGATCGCAGCCCACGATGCCGTTGCAGCGCGCGTTGTAGAAGGCATCCGCAATGCAGCTAGCCATGCAGGTGGAGGTGCCTGGCCCCCAAAGAAAAAAGCTGACCACAGGTGGGAAACTTGGTTGTGGCAACGCCTAATAGATCAAATGTATTCAAATGTGGGTTCACAACAGGAAGCAGCCAATATAAAGCTTCATGGGGGTTTACCCATGTTGGCTGAGTGGAGTTGATTGGGGCCCGTGGGGCTGCCGTTGGCCTTTAAACACCTGGAGGGATCACAACTCACAAATCTCAGCCACCGGGCCGACGTTCCACACCGTCAGGGGCCACATGTACATCCGGATCAAGCACTGGCGGAGGTGATTTGGGAGCAGCTCAAAATGAAGCAGGTATTTGAAAATTCCATAAGATTCCCATTTTCAACGGGGAGACTTCCATTGGCATGCTTATTTACCTTACCAATATATTGCATCATTGTCGGTGATTTATACTGTCAGAAACCAATATATCAAGCCGAATGTGGGTAGCGGGCACCATGTTTGCCCCTTGAATCAGCATGACACCTCAGCAAACTGCTGAGATGACTAACTGGTCTGTTTAGATCCATGGGTGAAGTCTGCGACTCAAGGAAATAATAAATGGAAATAATTTGAGCATATTTGAGTGACTCAATAAACTGAGGGGAGAAACCTCTGGTAACTCTTGTGCTTCTGATTGTACCTCCCTTTGTGGCTTTGAAACTGCAGTCAATCAGATTAGCCCGTGTAGCACTGCTTGAAATTCCACTCCAGGGCTAAAAGTACCCACGTGTGTGTGCAGCTTCTGCCAATGCAACTTTCTTCCAAGCAACAATTCAATGTTCCACCAATCAAGGCCCAAATAAACAGCATCAACATGCTATTTGACGTTCCAGTGGTTGCCATTCCCCCGAAACTACAGTTATGAGATTTTCTGAGCCACAGAGGATGTGTGAGCAATTGTTATTGTTTGCTGATTTTTCTGTTTTTTTGGTATTCGGATTTTGCATGTTTTTCATGTTTTTTTCTGATTTGTTTGCATTTGTTTTTCTTTAGTTTGTTTGGTTTTGTCATTGTTTTTGTTTCATTGTGCTATTCTTGTTTGTGTTTGTTTTGTTTTTGCCTCTTCATTATCTCTTAGTTCCAGCAGGATAGGGATCACTTATGGGAAATAATTGCATTGCACCCTTTTTAATTATAGAGCGGCTCAAATCCAATTTCCCAAGGCCACAGGAAATTACATCAAAGATTTGGGTCGCCAAGGACGCCTCGCACAGAAACAGCGGCCCCTAGCCAGAGGGGAAAAGAACAACAGAAAGAACACAAAAAAATCGCAAAAAAAACACCAAAAGAACGCCAAAATCACACCAAAAAAACGCAAAAAAAACGAGGTTTTCTTGATTTTCCAAAATTTTGTTTTTTTAAAGGCTGGTTCGAGGTGGCCCCGTTTTTTTCTCAATTTTTCCGTGTTTTTTTTCGTATTTTTCTCTTCCAATAGTGGGGGTCTGTATCTCATCTTCTCATCTTCACATCTTCTCATCTTCACATCTTCTCATTTTCACATCTTCTCATCTTCAAATCTTCTCGTCTTCACATCTTCTCATCTTCACATCTTCTCATCTTCACATCTTCTCATCTTCACACCTCCTCATTTTCACCTTCTCATTTTCACATCTTCTCATCTTCACATTTTCGCATCTTCACATCTTCTCATCTTCACATCTGCTCATCTTCACATCTTCACATCTTCACATCTGCTCATCTTCACATCTTCACATCTTCACATCTGCTCATCTTCACATCTTCTCATCTTGCCCTCTTGCCATCTTGCCCTCTTAACCTCTCCTTCTTTTCTATTTCTCTTCTGAAGGCGGGGGCAGGGGCAGTGCCACCGAGACGGCACGAAACGTAACCCTTTCGAACGAAACGAGGTTCGATCGTCAAAAACTGCGAAAGTGCGAGTTCAACTTGTCCCGCGCAACCCTTTCGCACCGAGGTTCGATCGTCAAAAACTAAGGTAAAATTGCGAGTTCAAGTTGTCCCGCGCAACCCTTTCGCACGAAACGAGGTTCGATCGGCAAAAACTGAGGTAAAATTGCGATTTCAACTTGTCCCGCACAACTCTTTCGCACGAAACGAGGTTCGATCGCCAAAAACTGAAGTAAAAGTGCGAGTTCAACTTGTCCGGCGCAACCCTTTCGCACGAAACGAGGTTCGATCGTCAAAAACTGAAGTGAAAGTGCGAGTTCAGGTGTCCCGCGAAGCCTTTCGCACCAAATGAGGTTCGATCGTCAAAAGCTGAAGTAAAATTGCGATTTCAAGTCGTCCCGCACAACTCTTTCGCACGAAATGAGGTTCGATCGCAAAAAACTGAGGTAAAATTGCGATTTCAAGTTGCTCCGCGCAACCCTTTCGCACGAAACGAGGTTCGATCGTCAAAAAGTGTGTAAAAGCTTTTGTGTGCAAAAGTGCCTGTGTGTCAAAGTGTTTGTGTGTAAAAGCGTCTGTGTGTAAAAGTGTCTGTGTGTAAAAGCGTCTGTGTGTAAACGCGTCTGTGTGTAAAAGCGTCTCTGTGTAAAAGCGTCTGTGTGTAAAAGTGTTAGTGTGTAAAAGCGTCTGTGTGTAAAAGTTTTTGTGTGTAAAAGCTCCTGTGTGTAAAAGGGTCTGGGTGTAAAAGTGTCTGTGTGTAAAAGCTTCTGTGTGTAAAAGCGCCTGTGTGTAAAAGCGTCTATGTGTAAAAGCGTCTGTGTGTAAAAGCTTCTGTTTCTGTTTGTAAAAGCTTGTGTGGCTAAAAGCTCTTGTGTGTAAAAGTGTTTGTGTGTAAAAGTGTCTGTGTGTAAAAGTGTCTGTGCGTAAAAGTGTCCGTGTGTACAAGCGTCTGTGTGTAAAAGCGTCTGTGTGTGAAAGTATGTAAAAGCTTCTGTGTGTGTGAAAGCTTTTGTGTGTAAAAGCTTCTGTGTGTAAAAGCTTCTGTATGTAAAAGCTTTTGTGTGTAAAAGTGTCTGTGTGTAAAAGCTTTTGCGTGTAAAAGTGTTTGCGATGCAAACTATTTTCTTGTACTTGTGCTATATTGTCTTGATACTCCTCTTCTCGACTGCCTATAACACATCTTTAATATATTGTTTTGTAATATGGTGTCTCCATACTAACAAGAGAAGACCCTGCTCCTCTACGCTCTCGGGCCATCCGTCGTCTAGTTTTTTCGTATTTTTTTGTGGTCGTTTTTCCCTTCTGCGTTGGGGTCCAGTTTTCTTCCTATTTCTTTCGTGTTCATCTTCCCCTTTTGCATTGGGGTTCTGTTTGGACCAGAGGACCCGAAATCGAATGTCTTGTATTCTCTATTCTTGCAAGAATGCTTTGCAGACATGTTTTGTCGTAATATTGAAAAACCTGGGTTGGAGAAGTGGGGCAACACATCAGACAAGGCATGGCAACCAGAAGAGAACAAAAGGCGAAACAAAAAACAACATCCACAAACAGTGAAAAAGAAGAGAAAAAATAACAGGAACAAAGCATTAAAAAAATCAGGAAAAAACAGGAAAACAGAACAAGAAAAACACAGAAAAAACACGAAACAATGACAATAAAAAATCTTGGCCTCTGGCTAGTAAAAAATATCATAAAGCTACAGCCTGCTACAGCTCAATTTTTGGTAGCTGTCAACCATTGTTCACATTTTATGCAGGTCAACTTCAACATCCTGGACCTTCCGGTTTTCCAACAATATCTGGAGCAAAATGAAGCTCAATGAAGCTTCAAGACTCTTCCATAATCTATAACCTATTATTAGTCAACCATCAGTAGACCTGCTAGTCACTTTTTGGGAAGAGACATTGCTAAAGTTCACAAGCATCTCAGCGCCTGGTTCACAATGTTGTTCCGCGCTTCGACACCGGCGCGCAGACGGAACTGAGCGGGGCGAATGGGCGGTCCACCAGACTAGTTCATGTCGAGCATGGCAGCGCTACTCTATTATACTTGGAGGGTCATCCCACTTAGTAACTGGTTAATGATCGTATTCATAACCCAGTTATGTATGGGATAACCCCATTTAGGGGACTTACAAACTAGGGTTTTAAAAACACAGAGTAAGTGGAATGATCCACAACGTAGCTACAGATAGCTAAGGGCTCTGGCTCGTAAATCATCCCAATGCAATACCCTCTAGTAAGCTAACCTGACAATGGAACATCTCACATGTATATATGTGAGATTTCCACGTTTGTCCATGAAAAAAGCTGGATTGTCCGATTTTCCGAGCCAGGTTGGATTCCGACATGTTCATCCTTTGTCAGCAGCCTGTAAGATGTTCAGGCTTGACAAACTCACCACCCTAGAAAAGGCTGTGACGCTGTGACCTTCTGGATCTCTGGGACAGCTATTTTTCACGGAGAATATTAGGATAGCAAATGGAATTGGATTATATCATAGTATCTTAGTATATCCATTGAAAATTGGCATAGAGTAGGGATTATTGCAGATTATAGCCACTTACAGACTTACAGACCATCTTGTGGCTAAAACGGTAAAACCACTTACCACGTACCGGAACTGCATGCTTCATCCAAACATGCGCAATCCAAGTGACTCCATCCATCGGATTGCCACGCTGAAGTGTGAAACCATCCTGGCGAAGTCCGGCTTCGAAGAAAGTGCCTGGTATGAAGTAATAGATCCAGTTTAAAGAAAAACAGAAATCAAACATTTGACATCTCAACCAGGCTATAGTTGTTGATGTGACATGGTGTGATGTGATACATGCATTCTCACTGAGGACTGAATTTCATAACTAATACATTACACCAATAAAAAATCAATTTCAACTGGCATGCAACTGCCAGCGACTCAGGGGCAATGAGACTACAATCTGGAAAATCCCCCATTGGTGATCCTTGACCCAAGTTTTTATAATTGTTTATCCATATTCTTCTGATATTCTTCCGATGAAACATTGGGATTTCCCATGTCCTGCAAGGCGACCTGCGGCTCGGAGGCTGTTGCAGGCACAGCTGTGCCCTGTGAAGCCTCGGCCCGGGAAATGCCAAATCAGCCAATGATGACTGGCCATGATTGGGTATGGTATGGTTTAGAATAAAGGAGAATCAACGCCAAATCCTGGAAAGAACTAGTGGTAACTAGTGATCTAAGTAGGCAATTAAAGCATATTATAGCATATAATACCTCTGTGTACATTCCTTGCTGGTCAAACTGTCTTGGAGTCACGTTTTGGGGCTCCACTGGGCTCCATGAATTGAAATGGGGATGAAATGCATGAAATGCCCCCCAGTCCATCCAGAGGCCAGGAGCAGCAAAACAACGACCACAGTAGAGCATTGGAAACGACATCTATGTGACCCAGAAATGAAAGAGGGGCAAAGATGGGCAATCTCAGTCTGTTTGATGGTTAAACCTCATATATATATAGTACATATATATATATATATGTAATACATACTTATAATACATATATATATAATACATGTATATATATATAATACATAAATATATATAATACACAGATATATATATATATATTATACGTATAGATATATATAAAATACATGTATATATACATAAAATAAATATATTATAATACACATATTTAAAATACATATATATATATATATAGTACATATATATAATACAAATATATAATACAGATGTTAAAATACATACATATATATATACATATAATACGTATATAAATAATACATATATATATATAATACGTATAAATATATATATACAGTACATTTACATATAATACATACATATATATAATACCATATATATCTATACAAATATAATCAACATATATATATATATATGTACGATATACACATCGTTTATTTTATGCAGTTTTAGCCCATTTCATGCTTGGTTCAAAGATGTTCAAACTCCAAAACCTACAAAAATCAATGTTCAACAGCAATTGTTGAACCATTGACAGTCGAGAAAACGTATGTATCAGCCCAGCCAGGGGGGTGGCCATGTGGCCCTATCAGCCTTCAACCACATTGTTCCAAACATACTTTGGGTGGCCTTTCTGACTTTTTCAACCAACCCAAACCTCCACATAACAACCCCCCTCACCTCCATTACTGGATACAGATCTCCACAACCCCCTTAGATATCATGTAATGGTATTTGATATATATATATATTAAAAAATGGAAAATTGAATAGAATGGCATACAATAGAACTGAACCTCAAAACTCCTCAGGAACCCACCTTAAAGGCCCAGGTCGCGATGCAAAGCCCCTGGCACGAGGGACTTTGTGTAATCTCCAGGTCCCTCGTGCCGGGGTCCGACAGGAGGTCTTGCTCGATGAGCCTGGGCGACCAGCCACAGAGAAATACCCACACAAATGGACCCCTGGAAAATGAAAATGTTTCAAACAACCAACCAGACATGTTATGTTGGTTGGCACATAGTCCAAACGGTTCGCGAATGCATCTGCATCATCATCATCATCATCATCATCACCACCGTCGTCACCATCAAAAGAACACCAGCATCCGCGTGCACAACTGAGTTGGTTTCTCGCGTGCACAACCGAGCCCCAAACAGCTCTGCCGACTTCAAGGGGTCTGCCGCACGTGCGGCAGACCCCTTCCAAGCGGTTGGCCTTGCAAAAAAACAAGTGCTGAACGGGGAGAGACCAATCGGTCAGTTTCTGAGCACTACGACCATTTGACATTTTGTGCGTCAGAGAATTTGGGGATTTTCGGAAACTTTTTGAGGTTTCTTCCCAAAAAAGTGGCTTTGATGCTGCTCTAAGGCCTAGACTTCCTCCTGAGACAGCCATGTGTCGCAGTTCTGGCAGTATGCCACTGCCTGTCAGATTTTCGAGCGAAATTCTTACTCTGGTGCTCCTATAGAGTTATAGAGTTATAAGTAGTTATATAATTTTAGTGATACAAAAAGTTATGAAAGGTTATGAAGTGAAGCAAATATCAACTATTTTGTCACATTTTTAAAATTTAGAAAAATTGAAAAAACATTTGTTTTTATTGTATCGAAACGACATCTATGTGACCCAGAAATGAAAGAGGGGCAAAGATGGGCAATCTCAGTCTGTTTGATGGTTAAACCTCATATATATATATATATATATAGAACATATATATATAGTACATATATATATAGTACATATATATATATATAGTACATATATATATATATAATACATACTTATAATACATACATATATAATACATGTATATATATATAATACATACTTATATATAATACACAGATATATATTTATATTATACATATAGATATATATAAAATACATGTATATATACATAAAATACATAAATTGTAATACACATATATAAAATATATGTATAGTACATATATATATATAAGACAAATATATAATACAGATATCAAAATACACATATATATATATATGTATATAAAATACGTATAAAAATAATATATATATAATACGTATAAAAATAATATATATATATACATATATACATATATAATACGTATAAAAATTATATATATATATAATACGTATATAATACATATACATATAATACATACATATATATAATACCATATATATATATATTATTAACATATATATATATGTGTGTGTACGATATACACATCGTTTATTTTATGCAGTTTTAGCCCATTTCATGCTTGGTTCAAAGATGTTCAAACTCCAAAACCTACAAAAATCAATGTTCAACAGCAATTGTTGAACCATTGACAGTCGAGAAAACGTATGTATCAGCCCAGCCAGGGGGGTGGCCATGTGGCCCTATCAGCCTTCAACCACATTGTTCCAAACATACTTTGGGTGGCCTTTCTTCTGACTTTTTCAACCAACCCAAACCTCCACATAACAACCCCCCTCACCTCCATTACTGGATACAGATATCCACAACCCCCTTAGATATCATGTAATGGTATTTGATATATATATATATATTAAAAAATGGAAAATTGAATAGAATGGCATACAATAGAACTGAACCTCCATACTCCTCAGGAACCCACCTTAAAGGCCCAGGTCTCGATACAAAGACCCCGGCACGAGGGACCTTGTGTAAGGTCCCTCCTGCCGGGGTCCGACAGGAGGTCTTGCTCGATGAGCCTGGACAACCAGCCACAGAGAAATACCCACACAAATGGATGAAATATTCGAACTCTTTCTATCCGGTACAACTCCCTCGCCCTCAAAGCTGGTGCATTAGCCCCAATGGACGAAAAAAATCGAACTGCCAACATCACTTTTGCTAGCACGTGCGCTGAACATTGAGATTTTGGGGGTGCGGGGGTTCAACATAATTTTGCTGGAAGGTTTGAATATTTTGTCCATCTACTGTCGCGCTCTCTGATGTTTTCACATCTTTTGGTATCCAAATTTCTGCAGTGGAAACACCTTTCTGCATGCACAGGTCAATGAAGGTCAATGTAACCTGTCTGTCTCCCCTCCCATTTTTCCTTTTCCTTGATGTGCAATGTATTGCAAAATGAGCAAAACATTACCTTTTCAGAAGTAAATGTCACCTGTGTGTCTCCGGTCCCACTTTTTATATTCCCTACTCACGCCAAAATGCGTAGGGATATGGTCTTTTCAAAGGTAAAAGCTGCATGCGTCTCGTCCCATGTTTCCTCTCATTCGCAACCCATTCCAAGATGCAGCAGATATTGTCTTTTTCAGGTAAATGCTGCACGTGTGGCCTTTCTCGTGTTTCTCCACTCCCTACTTCACGGTGGAGGAATGGAAAGTCCTGTATTTTTCCAATTCCATTTGTCCATGGTGATGGAATGTCCTGTGTTTTTCCAGTTCCATTTGTCCATCCCAGTTCCCTTCCAGTTCCTTTTACAGTTCCTTTTCCAATTCCTTTCCAATTTTCCTTTTTGCGGATTTCTTATGTTTCCCCAAAAAGTGCGTCCACACATGTGCACACTGACGAGTTCTTACGGTAAGTGTAAAGGCCGGTGCTTGATATAGGTGCTCACTCTGGTCCCCGGCATTTTACCTGCAAATTGCCGTATAAAGTGGCTCTTGTCCAATCTTGACATGCGTTTCGACTGCGCAGGCTCGCACAAAGTCTGCGGCGCAGTTTTAGGCCGCGGCATTTTTCCTGTAAATTTCAGCAAAAAGTTGCTCTTGTGAAATCTTGACATGCGTTTCGACTGCACAGGCTCGCACAAAGTCTGCGACGCGGTTTTGGTCCGCAGCATTTTTCCTGTAATCTTCCGTATAAAGTGGCTCTTGTGAAATCTTGGCTGCGTTTCGACTGCGCAGGCTCGCACGAAGTGTTCGTCTGCGTTCTAGACTCGTCCTGGGGCGCGGCATTTTCCCTGTAAATTTCCGTATCAAGTGGCTCTTGTGAAATCTTGACATGCATTTCGACAACACAGGCTCGCACGACATGTATGTCTGCGTTCTGGGCTGTCCGCCTTCTCGGCTCATTCTGGGATGCGCGCAGCCTCGCACAAAGTGTTTCTCTGCGTTCTACTTCTGGTCTTCTCTTGTCACGTCGTCTCTTCGCCTGTTGCCAAAGCCATCTACGCCATATGCTGTTTCGGCTTGCATTGTCTTTGGAGCATTGTCTCACGCATGATCCAACTCACAAAAACGGAAATAGGAGAATCTTGACTTGACATGTGTTTCGACTGCGCAGGCTCGGACAAAGTCTGCGGCGCGGTTTTGGTCCGCAGCATTCTTCCTGTAATTTTCCGTATAAAGATGCTCTTGTGAAATCTTAACATGCGTTTCGACTGCGCGGGCTCCCACAAAGTGTGTGTGTGTGTGTGCCCGCGTTCTGGACTCATTCTGGGACGCGGCATTTTATTTGAAATGTCTATAAAGTGGCTCTTGTGAAATCTTGACATGCGTTTCGACTGCGCAGGCTCGCACAAACCGTGCGGCGCGGTCTTGTGATCGGTCTCCTCCTCCTCAGTATCATCATCTTCCTCCTCCCCATCTTCCACATCCATCATTCTCAACATCATCCTCTTCCTCCCCCTTGACATCATCATCCTCAACCTCCTCATCATCCTCCACATCATCACCCTACATCTCATCGTCCTCAACATCATTTCCTCAACATCATCGTCCTCAACCTCCTATCCTCAAGATCACCGTCATCATCACCATGACCATCACCACCATCATCATCATCATCATCATCATCCTCAACATCATCGTCATCATCATCATCGTCATCATCATCTTCATTATCATCATCACCATCATCCACATTATCATACATTATCTTCCCACTCCCCCACACTGTTTGGGGTCTCTTACCGGGATAAATTCCTAGGGTGTGTGTTGCGATCCTTCTATTTTGGAAACAAAGTGAAATTGAACAGAAGGATGGCAACACAAACCCTGGAAAAACACAGGAAATCCGCAAAAGGAACTGGATGGGACCTGGGACGGACAAATCGAACTGGAAAACAAAGGACATTCCATCACCGTGGACACATGGACATGGAAAAATACAAGGCTTTAGCTGCTACGACGGAAGAGAAAAAAAATCCAGGGGAGACACACAAGCTGCATATTGGGACACAGGTTGCATGTTCCTCTGAAAAGGTAATGTTTTGCACATCTTGCAATAAGTTGCACGTCAAGGAAAAGGAAAAATGGGAGGGGAGACAGACAGGTTGCATTGACCTGTGAAAAGGTAATGTGTTGCGCAGTTTGGAATAAGATCAGCAGCATGCAGAAAGGTGTTTCCAAAGTAGAAGACTGGATGTCAAAAGATGTGGAAACATCAGAGAGCGAGACGGTACCAACTGGGGTGTGCGGCATGCTACCGTAGATGGACAAAATATTCGAACCCCTTCTATCCGATACAACCCCCTCGCCCCCAAAGCTCATTGTTAATGTAACCTGAGGTGCATTAGCCCCAATGGACGAAAGAAATCAAACTGCCAACATCACTTTTGCTAACCCTTGCGCAAAAATTAAGAGATTTGGGGGCGCGGGGGTTCAACATAGTGTTTGCTGGAGGATTTGCATATTTTGTCCATCTACTGTAGGTACCCTGAAACAGCTGGCTAATTGATGTTTATTCCCCCAACATGGTAATAGTAGGCTTTATTTGACCCATCCCCATGTTGCTTGATTGACCTGCCTGCGGCCTATGCTCGAAACCTGTTCCGCACTCGCAGACGCCGGCCGTCCTATCTGCCTTGGGGGGACAAGTGCTGAAAGGGGAAAGACCCATCGGTCAGTTTCTAAGCACTACGACAATTTGACATTTTGTGCTTCAGAAAAAATTGGTGATTTTCGGAGACTTTTTGACGTTTCTTCCCATGGTTCCAAAAAAAGTGGGTTTGGTGTTGTCAAAAGAAACAATCAATGAAGGCACCCAGATTGTTGGCACGGCGCTTTGGTTTCCCCTTTCCATTCCAGTCCTTCAGCTGTTCTAAGGCCTAGACCACTTTCTGTGTGCAGGCCCGGCGGCAGTAAGGACACCACCATATTGCCTGTTTGTCGATGATTTTTCCGGCTAGTAGCTATTACCCCAAAAATCCTAAACCCCCTAATAAGGGATACCATCATGAACAGATCCAATAGTAGCCCATGGTTTTTAGGTGGTATTGTAAGGAAATGGGTATACCACAAACACCTGCAGCACTTTTTGAAAAATTCGAAAACCATGGCCTCTGCTCTTGGCGGCGCTGTGTTTCCTGCTGCATCATGGCGCGTTGAGCGTGTAGAGGTGAGGACATGAGCATGATTTTGACCCTGCACATGTGCAAGCACATGACTTGAGAGTTGTTGGCCCCGGGTCACCCTTTGGCCCATTTCAGCCCCTGTAGCACATGACATGAGCTCTCAACTCCATATATATATATATTTTTATTTATATCTAAATACATCGGAAGACAAATTCTGCTCTGGCTATTTAACAGTTTAACAGTTTGGTATGAAAGCCATGGCCCATAGAAATAGATCTAAATAGACGATCTGTTATTCTTTATATTCCATGACATCCCTATTACAAACTATGAACTTCTATAGCTACGTTCAACAACCAGAGGGTATTCTTATCACTCTGACTATTGGCCTATGATTATTGGCTACACTCAACGCTTTTGACATCGCTAAAATTCACATTGCCTCTTTTTTGAAGAGCATGGTCTGAGAATGGTCATTCTGATGAGAAGGATACTGACAGTGGTTTATAACAACAACAGTGGTTAAGAACAGCAAGAATGGTTTATGAACAATAAGTCCACTCCTCCTTAACCTTAAGCACCCCCTCCACCCGCACAAATGATCCATTTCAGGAGGTTGAAATGTTTGAGCAATACAGTTTGCGCCATGACCCAGCAAACTGCCGCCATCTCCAGTCTCCTGCCGCTGGTGCTGCAGCTTCAGCTCCGGCTGCAGCAGTCGGAGCGGCCTGGACTTTCAATATGTGAGGTGTTGCATATCCTGGTTTTTTCAGCTATTTTTTTGATGGCCATCTCTCTCTCTCTTTATTTTTTTGATGGCCATCTCTCTCTCTCTCTCTCTCTCTCAGCGCAAATATATAGGTAATTCTAGATATACAATGAGATCATAAATAAGCAAACAAATATGTATATATATATACCAGTAGTACCCGCACGAGGCGGGGCGGAAGTTGCCTTAGGGATATATAAGACTTTCTCATCTATAGAACTTGCATGCGCCGTGCGCCAGCCAAGCCCGTGCGTTCGTGCATTCTGCGAAAGTTGTGTCCTGTTTCACATGTCACATTTGAAGCTCCACTTTGCACTTCACACTTCTCACTGCACCCTTCACACTCCACACTACACACTTTACACTCCACACTGCACTCTTCGCACTGCACTCTTAAGACTCCACACTTCACACTCAACACTTCACACTTCACAGTCCACACTTCACACTTCTCAATTCTCACTGCTTTCTTCACACTCCACACTTCACGCTTTGCACTCCACACTTCACACCGCACTCTTCACGACCCGCACTTCACACTGCACTCTTCACGCTCCACACTTCATCTCATCTGAGCTCTTCTCACCTTATCCCAGCTCATCTCTTTTCATCTCATCTCTTCTCATATGTCAGCTAAGCTTTCATGAATCACTTCCCAGTACAGTTTTCGAGAACTTGCATGCGCCGTGCACCAGCCAGGTCCGTGCGTGCGTGCTTTGTGCGTGCTGTCCAAGAACATGACCCGCGCGCGACCCCGGTGCAACGCAACTCAAGCAAACACTTTCCTCACACTTCACATTGCACTCTCCAAGGGGCTTCGTGTTTTTTGCGTCGGTAAGCGGTGTTTTTTTGCTACGGTTGCCAGGGTTGGTGTTTTTTGCGTCGGTTACGAGCCGGTGTTTTCTGCGTCGGTTCCTCGGTGTTTTTGCGACGGCCCCGGGTGTTTATTGCACTGGCAACCGGTGTTTTTTGCGACAGTGGTGTTTTCTGCGCTGGGAAGCGGTGTTTTCTGCCACGGTAACCAGGGTATTTTGCGACAGTTGGAGGGCGGCCTTAATGAGAATATTAGACTAGTGCTAGTCTACTACGCCTACGATAACTTAGACTTGTACGACACGAGGCACGAGAGGGAGTACGAGTACTAGCACTACTAATACTATTATTGCTATGAGTGCTACGACTACTACTATTATTTCTACTACTACCAATAGTACGACTCCTTTATACAAATACTAGTTCTACTACTACGACTACTATTACTTTACGACTAGTACGACCAGTAGTTTCGACTTGTACCACACTATTGCCAAACGGTAGTGCGAGGGTCGTACTACTTTGTCAGTACATCTGCAAGTGTTACTACTACTACTACTACTACTACTACTACTACTACTACTACAATTACAATTACAATTACGATTACTATTACTATTACTTCTACTACTACGATTATTATTACTACTACTACTACAGGTACCACTACTACTGCTACTACTACTACTACTACCACTATACCACTATACCACTATACCACTATACCACTATACCACTATACCACTATACCACTATACCACTATACCACTATACCACTATACCACTACTACTACTACTACTACTACTACCACCACTACTACTACTACCACTACCACTACCGCCACTACCACTACCGCCACTACCACTACCACTACCACTACCACTACCACTACCACTACCACTACCACTACCACTACTACTACTACTACGACTACTACTACTACTACTACAACTACTACTACTAGTACTACTACTACTACTACTACTACTGCTACAATTACAATTACAATTACGATTGCTATTACTATTACTTCTACTACTACTATTACTACTACTACTACTACTACCTCTACTACTACTACTACTACAACTACTACTACTACTACTACAACTACAACTACTACTACTACTACTACTACTGCTACTACTATCCATGTCCATCTACTGGCTATACTATCGTGATTTGGCTGGGCCCGGAGTTCAATGGTGGCATTGCGCATTGTGCGATCTACTCTGCCAAAAAGGCTTGACATGCACAAAAGATCACAAAAGTGACCTTCGCACTCGGTGAAAAACCGCGACCCGGTAAATCTGGTGGTCGCGAATACTACTTTAGTATTCCGTGCAATTGGCTTTCCTTTTGATCTGGGGGTCAGTACTTGGTTTGTGGCTGCAACGACAGAAGATGGCACAACGCGTGTGCTTTGTGCCATCTATGGCTGGATTACACCTGGTTTTTGGGAGGCGAGTAGATGGCACAATTCCAAAAGTCGTGCCACTTACTTTCAACCCGGGGTATATAGAACTTGGCACGCGTTGGGGGGGAGGGCGCACCCCTGCCCGCTCTTTTAACGGCTGCCCGTTCGCAGCACGCAACCCAGCAACAAGAAACCGCCAACATGAAACAGCATCGCAAATCCCAAGAGTTTATCTGAAAACTTGGCACGCATTGCGGCCGCGTTGCGGGGAGAGGCTCTCAATTGTGACATCAGCCCCCGCGCCCCGCCCGCCCGCCGGTTTGCATGACAACAACGAGAACAAGAACAAGAACAAGAACAACAACAACAACAACAACAAGAACAAGAAGAAGAAGAAGAAGAAGAACAAGAACAAGAACAAGAACAAGAAGAAGAACAACAACAACAACAAGAGTTTTACATTGCAACACAAGAAAAACCAAAAACAAGAGTCGCACAGTTCCGCTCTGCGGGGGGGAGGCGCTGCGCCCTCCCCCCGCGGGTGGAGGGTTGCGCGCCCGCGCGCGGCCCCCACCCGCCGTATTTTTGTTAAAGCCGCTCTCACCTTGCTAGCTCATTGCACAGCAGAGCACCACCAACACCACAAAACTACCCTGAGGCAGCAGCAGCAACATCGTCGTTGTCGTCGTCGTCATCGTCGTCGTCGTCGCTCGTCGCTCGTCGCGCACACTCGTCCCTCGTGTGCGCACCGGCCGCCTCGACTCCTCCTCCTCCTCCTCGACTCCTCCTCGACTCCTCCTCGACTCCTCCTCGACTCCTCCTCGGGATCCTCCTCCTCGACTCCTCCTCCTCGACTCCTCGAATCCTCCTCATCCTCCTCCCGGACTCCTCATCCTCCTCGGATCCTCCTCCTCCTCGAGACTCCTCCTCCCTAGAACCCTCCTCGACTCCTCCGACTCCTCCTCGACTCCTCCTCCTCCTCGACTCCTAGGCTCCTCGACTCCTCCTCCTCCTCAACTCCTCCTCCTCGACTCCTCGACTCCTCCTCGACTCCTCGACTCCTCCTCGACTCCTCCTCCTCGACTCCTCCGACCTCGACTCCTCCGACCTCGACTCCTCGGACCTCGACTCCTCCTCCTCGACTCCTCGACTCCTCGATCCTCCTCCTTTTGCTCCTCGATCCTCCTCCTCCTCCTCATCCTGAACTAGACTCCTACATAATACTATAGACTGCCTCCTCTATCCTCGACTCCTCCTCCTCCTCCTCCTCCTCGACCTTCCTCCTCCTAGACTCCTCCTCCTCTCCTCTTCCTCGACTCCTCCGACTCCTCCTCGACTCCTCCTCGACTCCTCCTCGACTCCTCCTCGAGCCTCCAAGGTGGTTTTCTTGGAAATTGGCTCAGAAACTGCAATGCTGACCTCTGTAGCGCGCTCTTTGGGTCTTGTGCGCGCTCCAACTGTTAACGGTGATGGTCGAAGTTGGGATCTGACCCAGGTGCTGGATCAGGAACTAGTAAGTCGGCTGATCGAGTGGCTAGAGCCGCTGGTCATTCACATCAAGCTGCCTTCCGAGCGCTCTGCTGGGGCTGGGGCTGATGTGGTGGCGATACTTAAGGGTCAGCAAGACCAAGGGAGGCTGGGGACCTTGGAAGTTCCTCTTCACTCTGAAGTCGTCGGTGCAAACGATTTCGTCTCTGCTTTTGGCCCTCTGCGCCAACCGGCTAAACCATTACTCCATCGGAGGGAGCAACCGGCGTCGCGCAGGTCGTCTATTGTAGACAGAACAGCCACATCTGCACCGCCTCGAACACCTGCTTTATTGCCTTCGACCCCTTCCGCGTTGGCGGACCAGTGGACGAACAGCCGCCCTTCTCCGACTCGACCCGTTCCGCCAGCAAGCAACCCCTTTTCTGCTATTCCGGCAACACGCTCCTTGAACGTGCCATGCAGGAGTCGCGTGCTACCGGGCAGGCTGACCTTGCTGGTGAAGTCATGAGGTCGAAGCCCGCTGTCCGAGGAGTGGCCCTGTAAGGCGCGCACCCAGTCCCCGAGACTTTCCAGGCGCACCGGGACCGCGGCTTTGCCACTCGACGGACCTCCTCACGTCTTCGACCGAGACTCCGACTCGGTCCGCAACCAGACGGATAGGTGCCCAACCATCCGCTTGCAACTGGCCACGCATCCCGTATTCTCCATGTCGGAGGGCCCGCGTCAGGGCATACTCCAGGTCGCCCCAATTCTTCTGCGGGTTCCTTCGACCACGGTGCGCCTTTTTCCACGACGCCATTGTGCCGCGGTCGAGTGGCGAACCGCACACTCGACCCGCGGCTTCGCGGTCAGGTCGCGAAACGCTAACCTGACCCGCGATGGGTTTCCACTGCTTTGGTGTTCCAGTCCTTCGGCAGCTGGCGAACCTAACCACACGACCACCGACCTGCTCACCAAACCCAGACCCAACCCGGAAGCTGGGCCCCGACTCCGAGCCAAACAGCTGCGGGAAACCACACCTGGACCCAGACAACCACCTGGACCCAAGCAACCTCACGACCAGGAAACCTAACACAACCCTGGAACCACGACCACCAAAACGCGCCGTGGGGGAAAGCCGCCCTACAGACCGCGCTACAGCTCTGGTGGGGTGATTATGGTCCGATTCCTTTTCGTCATGCTTAACCTTAGGGGTCGAACCTACATTCCCTGGTTTGATACCTAGGGCATCCATAGCTTCCTTTGGGGGTTGACCGACTCCTACAGGTGAGGCGCGCATCGCTCTTTTGATCTCTTCGTCGAATTCCTTGTCAGTCATGAACTTTTTGTCTATGACTCTTCCCGTTCGCACTGTGAGATCGTCCACATAGGCGATCCACTCCTTGGTATATTTCATTTGCCTGCCTCGTCCTGGACCGAAGGCACGGTCCACGACGTAGGAGAAATCATCCGGCCCGTTCACAGGCCCGAACGTCAGGCAAACGGGGAGAAACTTGCCAGAGCGTGCCACGATGGCTAGCACCTCCATAGCCCTTCTGGTATTCTGGATTTGGTTGAACCCCGTGACCGCATCCACGAAGGAATACCAGATGGACCCCGCACATTGGGACAGGACGTCCGTTGCCTTCCTGCAGTAGTATGTGCTCCTCAGCACCCGGGCATTTACGCGCCGGTAATCTACCACCAGGCGTCTCTTGCGACTCCTCTTGTGGGCTGGTGCCTCCTTTGTTGGAAATGGTGGGGAACCCCAGGCAGACGCTCCACGGACCAATTGGCCACGCTGCACCTCCTCCTCCAATCGCTCATCTACCCACGCTGCACTTTCTCCCTTGAGGGAATGGGGTTGAAGCGATACCGGGGGTCCTGTTGGGACGCAGTCATGGGCAACGCTTCGGACCGTAGTCCTTGGCGTGCCTTCTAGCCAAAAGGCCGCCGCCTTTCTGGAGAGGACATCTCTACAGGCCCCGAGATCGTCTGCATTCAATCCCGCAGTAGGAGGTGTCGCGTCAACACCAAATCCAAGTCCATCGACAACCTGCTTCCGGTATTCAGGCGTCCTCCTCGGATCATCTACGACTTCCTGTCCGCTAAGACGGTAGACAGCAAGATCCGCTTTGACTCCATCCCAGTCACCTTTGGACGCTCTTTCGTCCCACAGCTTGGTCATCCTTTGATGAAGCTCTGCAAGCTCCTGCTTGAGCTTCTCCCGACTCCGAGGCGAAAGATCCGGACCAACGTTCACGTCCTGTCGGGGATCTTCGCAGCTTCCATGTCCTGCGCATCGGCGGATCCACCGCCAGATGCCGCGAATACGTCTCCTTGCGAGGACCGCGCATCGACGGGAAACCCAATCGGTGCCGCGGCGAAGCTGGATCTATCCAACCTCTTCAGGTTTCGTATTTGGAGATTGCGAGCTAGAAGTGCTTGCTTGGTCAACCGCCAGTAAGTACTACAACAGACCGACGTGTAGTCTCCCTTCTGGTCGTCCGAGCGGCCAGAGTCATGCACATGTTCAGTAGCAGAAAGAGCATCTGGCCGACCACAACGGGCACTCAGCTCGGACAAATCGTAGTTGGCTAGCCACAACTGCGCGCCTTCGACACCCGAACCATATTGGCACTGGTCTACCCTGACCACGTTCCATTAATCCTGTCGTCTGATGTTCCGGCCAAAGCATTTGAAAGCATCTGAGTCTACTACCATGATTCGGGAGGTCTCGGAGCGACCTTGTGGACTCCGGACGTAGGCTTTGCAGAAGCAGAGCCGCTGCCGACAGGAGATTCGTATGATACGACAAGCTCCTCTTCGGAAAGTGAAGCAGAGAGCACTCCTCGACCTGAGGGGCGTGCAACTGGACCAGAACAAGCAAGCAGTTCAGGGGTAGTTCGCGACTCACAAGGGAAAGAGGTCATTGCACCCGCGACTCCAGATGACGGAAAGGAAGTCAAAGAGGAGTCCCCTGTCGATCCGGACTTCGAAGAAGTCAAAGAGGAGTCCCCTGTTGATCCAGACTTCGAAGAAGTAAAGGAGGAGTCCCCTGTTGGCCCAAACTTCGAAGAAGTAAAAACCGAAGAGGAGCCCCCGCGGGCCGGGTCTGCGCCTTCGCGGCCTGGTCGCGGAGAAGAGAGCGGAGAGCCGAACCGCCAACGTGGTGAAATGTCGAAGGAAGAGCTGCAGGATATCTGGTCGTCAAGCCGTCGGACGTGGGCGCAGAGGGCGGTGGAGAACACTCTGGCCGGGGTTGCGGTTGATGAGTTGACTCAGTTCGGACGATCTCCAGCCCTCTCGAGACTGGTCGAGAAGCAGAAGGATCGCCCCACAGAAGGAGGTGAGTTGGAGCTGAATCGCAACATCAAGGCAATCACGGCAAGCGCAACTGCTACTGCGGTGATTCGCCGCCGAGCTGGGAAACCAGCTACGTACGAAGCCTACGAGTACGGAAAGGCGGTCGCCAGAACTGTGGAAGGCGCCGACGAGAGGCTCGAAGCGGCGTTGGCTCCTGGAGTCGCTCAACCTGCAGCAGGAGTGAGGGCTCAAGAGCCTATCCGCCAGCTAAAGCGGGAGCTGCGTGCGCGGAAGCGGGCAGCGGTGCACCGCAAGGAGGTGCGTCAAGACGACACACGCCGTCGGTTGGAGAGACAAGCGGTGGCTGGAGTACCGCGCCTAGCAGCGGGCGCAGCCTGGCACGTCGATGATGGTGTGCCGGAGCTGACGTACGCGGCCGGCAGCTGGGAGTGTGACCTTTGTGGAACGGTCGCACCGCCCGACAGTGATGTCTGCGTGGGATGGTCCAAGGGATCAAGGTGCGAAGGGACCTATGCAGCCAACTTCCGAGCTTGGGCTAGAAGCCGACCTGCGAAGGGTCAGAAAAGGAGTCGTCGCACTGCTCTGGAGGCGGCTCTCAGGTCCTCGCAATGGAATTGTGCCAGGTGTCAGAGCGAGAACCTCGCCTTCAGGCATGTGTGCTACAAGTGCAGCCGTGCCCGACCTGAGCATGACCTGCTGTCTTCAGATGAGGATGACAAGGTCGGTCGAGGATCCCAGGCCATGGGACCTACGGGATTTCAAAAGGAAGATGAAGCCCGGCAGGGTCTCCACCTGAGGTCCAAGAAAAAGAAAAGGGGTGGCGCCAAGCACAAGAAAAAGGTCGGCCGACGCTCAGGTGTGGCGAAGCGCCTTCACAAGGTGGCGCACGCGGCGGGGTCTGCGTATTCGCGACCTCGCGCGGGTAGCCAGAAGGCGCACAAGAAGGGTAAGAAGAAAAAGCCTAAAAAGAAGGTGTACTCTTGGTCCATCAGCCGGAAGAGCCGTAACCAGACCAAGAGAGCCTCCAACGGGAATGGTTGGAACCTTAACCAAATGGCAGGAGCGTTTGCCATCCTGATGGCTTTCCCGGTTCTGAAGGAGTCAGAAGAAGTGGTCGCGGTCACTTCGGAGGCCATCCAGGACGCGATCTCCACCACTGTGGAAACCTACCAGGAGATCGTGACAGAAGGCGGAAATCAGCTCAAGATGCTGATCGCCGCCGCAGGCATCGCCCTCCAGGTAATGATGACCTGGTACCTGTCCAGTAAGGTTCTGAACTTTTGGTGCCGCTATGGCCACGGGAATACGGACAAGGCCCATCTCGTGGAACTGCGAGGAGAGGTCACCTTGTGGGACGTGGCCGGCACCAAGGGTCTTCACAGGGTGCGGATAGCAGGTCGGCAGGCAGGGTGCGCTTGCCGGACGTTCTTGAGCAAAGGAAGCTGCCCGCACACCCAAGCAGCCTTGGCAGCGCTGACTGCGCTTCCAAGTAGGCCAGAACAACCCGTCGCTGTGCGACGCGGCCAAGCAGCATTGGGCCAAGCAGGCTCTGTGGCTAGCTTTTCTGGCTGTTTCCAAGGACTGGTCGGAAAGGCCAAGCAGCTGACAGTGAGCGCTGCGTCCGCCTACCCAACGGCCCAGGAGGCCGCAAGGAGTTCAGAAAGGGATGATGGTGCATTCAACAGGAAGGTCATCAGGGAATCCCTCAGCCTCGATACTGGGTTGGTCGAAGAAAGGCCTGAGCAAAGCCTGTTGGCGCTGCCCGAACATGCCCACAACAGTGGAGACGGAGACCAAGCCAAGGTAGTGTTCCTGAAAGATGGCGAGGTCTTTGAATGGATCACGATCAATTTCAGCAAGCTGGGCAAGGGCAGCAAGGCTTGCATTAGGGCCTACAGTTTCGATCAGCCGGACGTCGTGGAAGCCGTTAGGTCAGCAGCAAGCCGTGGCTGCGATACCTACCTAGTCTGCGATCGTTCGCAGGCGTCCGGAAAAACCAAACAGCAGCTTCAGGTCCTGAAAGAATTGAGAAGTGTAGGGACCAAGGTGAAACTGGCTTCGGGTCTAGGCGTCAATCAGGCCTACCGCAGTGATGGTCGCTCCGTGCGCGTTGGCAGCCGACTCCAAGGGCTTCATCACGCGAAGAGCGTCATGATCTGGTGCCGACAAGGTCGATATGTTGGTTGGAAGTTGTAACTTCACCACGAGCTCGAAGGCCAACAAGGAAGCCAGCATAGGGATCAGCGTAAACTCTGGAACAGAGCTGGTCCGTCGCTGGGAGTCAGCCTTCGAAGAAGCATTTGAAAATGGTTCGAATATCGACCAGTTCGAGACAGAGCAAGGCTTCGACCGACGCAGGGTCGGCGCAGCCAGTTCAGCTGCTGAAGTCCAATGAGGGGAAGATTGAAATCTGGTGCAGTATGGCATCGCATTTTCAGTCTGCCTCGCGGTGGTGTCTGCGTATCGCGACACTACGCGGTGGACCGCACTTGAAAAGCTGGCTTTGCACGTGGCTGAACCCAGCTGAGGGGCGAGTGTAGCTAGACGTAGCGAAGCCGTGCAGTAGGTCCACCGTAGCTGTCTTTTGTGTTTCACTTGTTGCGTTGTACAGTGTACAGTGTATGCCTTTTGGCTCAAGTGGCTCGTTAGCTTAGTGTAGGTGTAGCTGCTTGCAGGGTCGTCTCGACCGCCGCCCGCGACTTGCGCGCGTGGGTGAAAACAGCTGAGCGGCCGGGGTCCGTCTTGCCCACAGTATATATACATTATATATTGTATATTATATATATTGAGTATTTATATATTGTATATATATATATATACAGTGTATATATATATATATATTGTATATATATATTGTATAATATTGTATATATATATATATTGTATATCATTGGTTATATATATATAGTGTATATATATTGTGTATTTAATATATATTGTATATTATATATATTGTATAGATATACATACAGTATATATATATATAGTGTGTATATATATATATATATTGTATATGAATATTATATATAGTGTATAATATATGTATTGTATATAAAAATAGTGTCAATATATTGTGTTTATAGATATATATATATGTATTGTATATATACATATATATATGTATATATATTGTATCTATATATATATGTTGTATATATATATGTAAAGATATATATATATGTATGTAAATATATATATGTATATATTGTATATATATATATTGTATATATATATATAGACAATATATATATACATATATATATATATTGTATATATTTAAATATATTGTACATATATATATATATATTGTACATACATATATATATATATATACACATATATATACATATATATATACATATATATATATACACATATATATATGCACATATGTTGTGTGTCTATATGTTTATCGTAATCACCGCAAACTTGCTTTGGGAAAAACTCTTGACCTTCATGGTGAAGAGGTTTGATGAGAAGAATCGTTGTCCGTGTTCCGTGAAATTCGAAAAGTTGATGTCGAAGAAAAGAGGGCTCTACAAAACTTTGCAACCAAGTATCGCCCAGACTCTTCAATTGTGCCTGACAGACCCCAGTGGACGGTCAAGTGCGGCAGTGGGGATGACCTCCAGCAACTAAAAACGAAGATCACAACTTTGTATCACCAAACTAAATAAGTCTACATCCAACTATATAAATCATCCAGAACCATCCAAAATCATCCAACCATCATCAGCCCATCAGCCCATCAGCCCATCAGCCCACCTGCTGATAGACGGCCATCAACTCCTCCGCCCAGGCCATAGCCGGCACCGACCCTTCGCTGCCAGTGGTGACCCACAGCGCCAGCTCGGGCGTCTCGTCTTGGACGTCGAGGATGCGCCGCAGCACCGGGTCCAGGATCAAGGCACCCGAAGCTGCGGCAACCCGGTGAACGGGCCGATCGTCAACCATCAATGGTTGATTTCATTGAAACCGGGAGAGAACTACATCTCCTATGCCAAGAATATCCAAAACTGGGCTACAGTGCTCATTCGCCAACCAAACTTGGAAATGGTCCTAGAAAAACTTGTCGGATCCCGCCTTCCTCCATGATCCAGCCATGAAGCTCGCAAGAGACCGACAACGCTTGCAGCATGTGCCCCAGATTGAGGTGGCAAGACCTCAGGGCGAGCCACGGAGCGGCCTTTCCAAGGTGAGAGGTCGAAAACCTGATGCTTTTGGTAATCCCTTGATAATGGCAGGGCATACATAGATATATATATATGTATATATATTATCATATAATATATAAATATAATATGATATTATATATATATATTGTATATATATATATATTACTATATATAATATAATTATATAATATAATATAATATATATATATAATAATAATATATATATAATATAATATATATATATATACACAATATGTATATATATATATATATGTTTGGGAAAACCATCAAACATGGTCTCAAGTCTGGTGAATGGGATTTATGAGTCAACCGTTCGACAGCAAAAACCATGCAGATTCTACTCGATCCGTTTCAGGATACTTTGTCCCTGGGTTGGTTTCAAAAATTGTTCACTCATATCTATATCTCCAAGAAATAATCTTCATTTTTCCCATGAAATGTAGGGTTTATTCCCTTAGTTCTCCCGCAAAATGTGCCATTTCTGAGAGTTTGGCCCATCCCGACCTCAAAGCTCTTTCTCCATATTTCCATGCCTCTCTGACGCAAAGGCTACTGAGGATGACCAGAAAGCCGGAGGCTGAGGATTGGTGTCCGCCCACCAACCTAAGGATCTGCAACGATTGCAACGTGCCCTTGGGATCCCTTGGGCATGTTGGATTCTTTGAATCTGATAAATAAAAAACATACAAATCTTGGTTTGGTGCTTTCTCCCCAAACGGCTGGAGGCAGAAATTGCGGAAGAAAACCGACAAAATCCCAAAACACTATGACACTGTCCTGCTCGGGCAATTGGACAGCCAGAATACTAGTACATGCAGCAAAGAGAAGTCTTATTGTCACATGTACTTTGAACTTACGGCTCGTAATGGACTTAACTTTGTTCCTTTCGAAGCATGAACCAACCCTCTACGGGACCTAGAAATTCAAATTATGCCCAAAAATGGTGGGATTCTCGTAGTGATTTGGGATTTGGGCACCTGAGTACCTCAGCTTTCTGTCATGGTGAAAGGGTTTCCAGTTTGGGTCATTGGGCACCTGTCAGATCTGTATCCGAAAAAGAACGGAATGGTTTTTGTTGAAGACTCGAAAATGACCAGCCCGCCAAATTTTGACCCTTTGCATCCCTTTGCTGCCCTTACTAATTCTCAAGATGAAATTTTGTTGGTCTGTTGCGGCTCCTAAGTTTGGAGCCTTCCACGTCTTTGTTGGGGCACAGCTATCCCGCGGAGCAAACCACCAAGCTACTCCTGAGGAGCTTCTAGGCGGAGCTCCAAGTGATGCATCTCTGGCTGATAGTGATACCTCACGTTCAGTTCCCCCAATTGGAGATGGCCCTAACATCTCAATTTCGGACATTGAATGCGTTGAAATTGTGCGGTTGGTTCCAATTTTCCAGTGCTTGTCAAATCCCCTTGTGGTGAAATCCGCGCATCTCTATGAGCAAAAAAAAAAATCTGTGCCGTTGAAGCCCAGTTGCGCAGCCGTCACAGGGGCCAGCCCTTCCAGTGGGGGCAACACCAAGTGCACTTCTGTCGTCTGCAGGTTACCCGAGGAGGGCGCAACACGTAAAGCCCACCTCATCACAAGGCCACACCAGGGCCACACCAGGGCACCAGGCCAGTCAAACACAAGTGTGCCTTGGATATCGTTTGGTTTCCAACAGATTTTGGTGTTTGTTGAAAAATAAAGTAATCGAATCGAACCGGACGCTAAAATGGTAGAGTTATAGATTTGAATTATTTTCCAGGCCATCATTTTCAGGTGAAACTGTACAGGTCAGGTGTGTTTTTTTGCTATTCACTGCCACGTCGCCTGCTTTCAAGTCTATAAAGTATTTTCTTTGAATGAAGCACTCACATCTGCTCAATCGCCGAATGCCATGATGCTATGATCTAAAAATAAAACCCAACCCTAAAAATTTGTTTCCCTTAAGAAGGATTCCTTGTACCCTTGGTGCGCCTAAGATGTTTGCGCATCACATTTTTCCATGCAATGCGGACCATTTTGTCTTGTTTACCCCATCCACTCTGTGTCTGGACATGTGGCGCATGAACCCCATCGTAGCTCTTCCAAGCAGAAATGCCAGCACCCAAACGCAAGAAACTGCCCAAAGAATTCAACGACAAAGGCACCTCAGCCCAAGATGAACAGTTGTCCTTGTCCTTGTCCTCACCCTCATCCTCATCCTCATCCTCATCCTCATCATCATCATCATCATCATCGTCGTTTTCATTTTCATTTTTTCTATCACCAAAAATGCAGGACTTGGCAGGCCCCACCAACTGACCCAAAAAACACACAATGCCCTGCCCTTAGGCGCCAGAAAACGCTGTCGGCTGACACAGCATCTGGCAACGCGGTGGGCAGACGCACTGCTGGCGCACCCAAATAGCTACGCCACGGAGAGGGCTGCGTGGACCAGTCCTGCATGGGACAACAAAAACAATTTGCAATTTACGAATGGTTTGAGTTCCGAACTATGACGAAATCGAAACTCATGATATGATTTCGGGTTCGTTCGGGCAGGCAGATTTGGATAGATTTGGTGGGTTGTAACTTGGCATGATGTCCAAATTGATCAATTCAAATGATTACCATTTGTTCGTGTCAATTTCCAAAGTGTTGCATCAAGTTGAATGGGTTCAGGAAACGGAGAATCGATGGTTTTTGCACTTCAACTATGATTTTTTTTTGGAAATAATGTTTTTGCTGATGGTTTCCGTATATAATTTCAAAACATTTTCCAATCACCAAACCCTGACCCCAATCTGCCCCTTCCCTAGTCCAGGGTCTCAGGAAGTGTCGCTTGGACGTCCAAGAAATGTTTACTCCGCCAGTGGTACCGGAGCACATCTGCCAGGCGACCCTTCCTGACCAAAGTCAACACTTTGGACCTACATTGTTTCAGATCGTTGTTGTCAAGAAAAAACATTCACATGTGGTCACTGTTCATTGCATACCATATGTGAATGACCCAATGGAGAAAGGACTGTTACCAAAAAAACAGTTTGTATTTCCATGGTTCAACGACTAAACGATCGTTGTGAATTTTAACCCATGTATTCCTGGCCGGTTCACCTGAACGACGGGAAAACAAATTGAGGTTCTGATGGTCAAACATCAATTGAATCACATACACTTCAACAACGGTATGTGTAGAATCCAAACGATGGTGAGAATACACGTATTCATGACCTATCAATTTCCAAGTGTTCAAACACATGCAAAACAAAAACAATGGTTTTCAACTCGGGAATTTACGAAATGCAAGTTCTGGTTCCACATTTGATCACACGAGTTCGTAAAAATGCCGCAAAAACAATCAAGGTCCAAGATTCAATTCTTGGGCCATGCCTTTTCCAAGTTCTTCCACAAGCGGTGCAAAAATTTCTGGTTGCGCACACGCCCCCCCAATGCCCAAAGCGAGGCCACGCCATGATATCATGAATGGTGCACCACAAAGCCTCACTCATGGCGCGAACTGTGCGCACCCCAAACAAACCCCACACATTAATCCGCGGTGTTTTGTTTCATGATTTCATTTGTTGCTGTCAATCCCAAACCTACATAGGGGACACTGCTGTTTGAACCTGTAACAACCTTTTCATGATTGTGGCAAAACAAAAACAAAATACGACATATGCATTCAAACATCACCACATTTAACTCTGGCCACATCTGTGCAGTTGCATGCACTGCTAATAACATGGATGGGTTTGAGACTACACGACTTATTTCCTGGAACCAATGATCAAATCTCAACATAAACCGTGTTCTTCACACAAGCAAAACTCGGCAAAACCACGTCCGCATCGACACACTGCGCATTCATACCCACAAAAACGTTGCAGTGGTGGTCCTTGTTTTTATTCTGCATCAAATTCTGACCATGGTATTCTCCCGCATGCTGGCGGCGATGTAAACATACACCGACACTGTTTGGTGTAGCGCCCCTTTGATTTGGAACCAAACCCCTACAATAGATTATCCATGCATTGGCGCATCAGCACATGAGAAACGAAGGTTTGAAATATCATCCAACTGAAAAAGGAATCCACATGACATGCACTTAACATGAAAACCGGTACTGATATCCAAGGAATGAGACTCTTATCAACCCACCGCGCATTTCCGAAAAATTGGCCCGCACCTATGCCGAGGCATGATTGAGTTGATGTCATCGAATGAACCAATACAGTCTCAGCTGGGGGGGTATGAAGGAGTCTTAGGGTCCATTTCGTCCATAATTTCTGGTGTCCCATGGAGATAATTTATCCGGTTTGGCTGAAACTCCAAGTTGAAACCAATATGTTTTATTTTCAATTTTTCATGTTAAATTGTTTGATAATGGTCCCACACCCTATTTCTAAAAAATATTATCCCGGCAAGAGACCTCAAACAGTGTGGGGGGGTAGGACGTCAATGTAACAGATACAAGCAACAGTAGCTATGAAGCAGCAACAGATGAGTTGAGGTTAGACATCATGGCAACGCAGCAGCAGGACCTTCTACGTGATCTATTTGGAGGAGCTCACAAGATCTTCATACAAGGCTCACAAGATCGTCATAAAAACCTGCTGCCTCCTGAGCAGCTTACAAGATCTTGAGACAAAAAACGAGCCTCCCACAAAAGTTTTCACACAAGCAAGTGTAAGAAATGGCATCTGCAAGATCTTCACGCAAGGACCTGCCTGTTAGAGAGGGTTCCACCAGGATCTCCAGAATAACCTTCTTTTAGGGCCCTGTACAGGACCATGCAAAGCATCTTCAAGATCTTCACGCAAGGCCTCTCAGCAGGATCTTCACAAGATCTTCTCACAAGGACCTGTACCCCCACAGGATTTTACGTCGAGATCTTCCCACAAAGGCCTGTGCAAGATCATGCAAGACAGCATTTTAGTAGGATCTCCACAGGATCTTCTCACAGGGAATAGACAAAATCATGCAAAGACCTCTTAGATGACTTCAGCAGGATCTCCACAACATCTTCTTAGAAGGACCTCTGTACAAGACAGAGATTTCACTCGGATCTCCACAAGGTCTTCAGATAAGGATCTGTGCAAAATCATGCAAGGACCTCTTGGAAACGGACCTGTTCAACATCATGCAAGAACCTCGCGGACACAACTTCATCAATATCCTCTTAGAAGGATCTATACAAAACTATGCAACGACCTCTTAAAGAGGACTTCACCAGGATCTCCACAAGATCTTCTTGCAAGGACAACTGTTTCGGGTTGACATGGAATCTAGTGAATGCACAATTCATCAAGGAAAAACCCTCCTGCAAAGGGGGAAAAACCTCGATGTAACATGCCAATGGGCAAAGCAGAGCCAAAAAAACATCGCTACACATGAGAGAATAACGCTATAAAGAGTCAAGTCAGCGTTTGCTGACCGTTTCGTGCGAGTTTGCGCACAAAAGGGCTGTTTTTTTTTCACGTTGCGGAAATGTATTTGTTCCGTTCTGCAATTTTTCTTGCCTCGGCCGGTTTTTTCTTGCCTTGGACAGATTTTTTCCTGCCTCGGAGGATTTTTCCCACTGTCTCCAGAAGAATGCATTTTTTCTGCTGCCAAGGTGTTTTTCTGCTGCTGCAAGGTGTTTTTTCTCCTGCTTTGAATTTTTCCCGCTGCGAAGCGACATTTTTTGCTGGTTTTTCCCGCTGCGGAAACCGTTTTTTCCGCCAAACATTTTTCCCGAGAGCGCCTGCGAAGGGTTCTTCGTAAAAAAGCAGCCGTTATACTACATCTTCACACCTTCACATCTGCTGATCTACATCTTCACACCTTTACATCTGCAGATCTTCTTCACACCCTCACACCTGCGGATCTAGATCTTCACACCTTCACATCTTCACACCCTCACATCTGCAGATCTACATCTTCACACCCTCACATGTGCTGATCTACATCTTCACACCCTCATATCTGCAGATCTACATCTTCACACCCTCACACCTGGAGATCTGGATCTTCACACCCTCACACCTGCAGATCTAGATCTTCACACCCTCACATCTGCAGATCTGGATCTTCACACCCTCACATCTGCAGAACTAGATCTTCACACCCTCACATCTGCAGATCTACATCTTCACGCCCTCACATCTTCACACCCTCACATCTGCAGATCTACATCTTCACACCCTCACACCTGCAGATCTAGATCTTCACACCCTCACACCTGCAGATCTAGATCTTCACACCCTCACATTTGCAGATCTAGATCTTCACACCCTCACATCTGCAGATCTAGATCTTCACACCCTCACATCTGCAGATCTAGATCTTCACACCCTCACATCTGCAGATCTACATCTTCACACCCTCACATCTGCAGATCTCCTCTCGCTCTTCTTCTATTCTCTCTTAAGGCGGGGGCGGTGCCGCCGGAGCGCCACGAAACGCAACCCTTTCGCACGAAATGGACGTTGGACGTCAAAAACTGAGGAAAAATTGCGACTTTGAGGTGTCCATCGCAACCCTTTCGCACGAAATGGACGTTGGATGTCAAAAACTGAGGAAAAATTGCGACTTTGATGCGCCCCGCGCAACCCTTTCGCACGAAATGGACGCTGGACGTCAAAAACTGAGGAAAAATTGCGACTTTTATCCGTCGCGCGCAACCCTTTCGCACGAAATGGACGCTGGACGTCAAAAACTGAGGAAAAATTGCGGTGGACGCTTTCGTTTGTGTAAAAGTGTCTGTGTGTAAAAGCGTCTGTGTGTAAAAGCGTTTGTGTGTGAAAGCGTGTGTGCGTGTGTAAAAAGCATCTGCGTGTAAAAGCGTCTGTGTGTAAAAGCGTCTGTGTGTAAAACCGTCTGTGTGTAAAAGCTTTTGTGTGTAAAAGCGTCTGTGTGTAAAAGCGTCTGTGTGTAAAAGCGTTTGTGTGTAAAGGCTTTTGTGTGTCAAAGCGTCTGTGTGTCAAAGTGTGTTTGTGTAAAAGCACCATGTGTAAAAGCGTTTGTGTGTAAAAGTTTTTGTGTGTACTTTTACCGCACGACATGGAACTGTTAGAGATTGAGGGTGAAAATGCTTGCTAGTGTATCCGTGCTAGGACGTGCGGAGCTTGGTTCGTTTGGTGTGGTAATCCGTGTGGGAATTGATATGTTCATAGTGAGCTTCACTGTTCAGTTTGCATGTCTATGCGACAATGATGTTTGCTTGTCAAACGCAGGAGTCGTGGTCTCAGGGTTCGAAGAACACATTTTTTGCATTGAATTGTGCGAGTGTGTAGCCGGTTAGCGCATGAAGTTGTAGAAGTTACCAAGCTGTTGGGTTCGTTGTACCTTTGTGAATGTTTCCTTCGAGAACGGTGTGACGCATGTAATTTACAGCATCATGGTGTTCGACAATGATGCCCATCCCAAGTGTCAAACTCACGAATTGTGTTCTCAGTTTGGAAGTCCAGGATGATGCAAGATGAAACAAGGCATTGCGAGATGATGCAAGATGGTGTTGCCGAGCTGCTGAGTTTTTTGTTACCGAGCTTTGTTAAACTAGTTTTTTGTTGATGCGTTCAGCCTTCAGTTTGCAGGTCTCTGCGACAGTGGTTCTTTGCCATGTCAAACTCATGAGTGGTGTTCTCAGTTTGGAAGTCAGAGAACAAATGCTTTGCAGTGGATTGTGCAACTCTGCAGCGACAAGCACAGTTTACCTCTTTACCTCTTTCCTGGGCTCAGACGTGAACGTAGAGACAAGATGCATTGTGCACAGAGTGAACATCCATATTCTTATATGTACGCTGAATGTTCGTGAAACAAGTGACGATTGGCAAACAGGTATCTTTAACATTTCTTGCACTTCTCGAGGTTTCTGTAGGGGCTGTCCGTGAGATCTCGAGAATTGCATTGTGACAATGTCAGTGTTTGTTTACGATGCAGTGGATCTATGTGATGTATAGCACGAAAAAAACATATGTGATGTTTTCATTGAAATGCATGAGCAGTGGACAAAAAAATACTACGGGAATCATTGTACCGTTCAAATTTGTACCGTTCAATTTTGTTTTGAAATCAAGCATGTCATGGAACTGAGTGCAACTGGCACAAATTAATCTGTAGCACTGTTCGTCTGGAGAGACTGCTCGTGACGAACATGCAAAACCAGTAGCCAACTGTTGTTTGTCTGTAAAGATTTTTTTCCATCTTTTTTTTCCATCCTGTAGGGACATCGGAAAAATGCAGTGAAACAGGTGTCATCCTTGCCATCATGATATCGAACTTGCTATTGTGGAATCATTCAAAGCATTCTTGCACGGAGTTCTAGATTCTTTTGGATGCCATGGTACGGAGCCTTTGTTTGTGTACTTTTGCATTTTGTAGCATTTCCATTGCGACTATGTTTGCCCACCTGTGTTTGCAACTGAGGTCATCCACGGCATCATGGTGCCGAGCTTATTTTGTATCTCAAAGAGCGGATGCCTTGCATTGGATTGTGCGTTGATCATGGTACTGAGCCTGGTCTTGTGCACTTTGCGATTTTTTAGCATTTCCATTGCAACTATGTTTGCGCACCTTTGTTTGCAACTGAGGTCACCCAGTGGTGCCGCGCTTTGTGAGCCTCTCTGTGTAAAAGTGTGTAAAAGCGTCTGTGTGTAAAAGGGTCTGTGTGGAAAAGCGTCTGTGTGTAAAAGTGTCTGAGTGTAAAAGCGTCTGTGTGTAAAAGTGTCTGAGTGTAAAAGCGTCTGTGTGTAAAAGTGTCTGTATGTAAAAGTGTTTGCGTGTAAAAGCGTCCGTGTGTAAAAGCGTATAAGCGTATGTGTGTAAAAGTGTTTGTGTGTAAAAGCGTCTGTGTGTAAAAGGGTCTGTGTGTAAAAGCGTCTGTGTGTAAAAGCTTCTGTATGTAAAAGCTTCTGTGTGGAAAAGCATCTGTGTGCAAAAGCGTCTGTGTGTAAAAGCGTTTGTGTGTGAAAGTGTGTGTGCGTCTGTAAAAAAGCATCTGCATGTAAAAGCGTATGTGTGTAAAAGTGTCTGTGTATAAAAGCGTCTGTGTGTTAAAGTCTTTGCGTGTAAAAGTGTCTGTGTGGAAATGCGTCTGTGTGTGTGTGCGTGAAAAACGTCTCTGTGTGAAAGCGTCTGTGTGCAAAAGTGTTTATGTGTAAAAGCTTCTGTGTGTAAAAGCGTCTCTGTATAAAAGCTTCGCGTTTCTTCGCGTTCACGGAATTATGGTGCCGAGCCTTTTTCCGCAATGTGTGTGGGAATTACCATAATAAAATGAGATAGCACATGTCATTCGCACACTCATGGTACCGAGCCTCCTGTGCACTTTTGTTGCTCACATTACATTTCTCCATGTTTTCTTTCTACCTCCCCCTTTCATTCTCTCTCTCTCTCTTGCTTTCTCTTTCTCTCTCTCTCTCTTTCTCTCTCTCTCTCTCTCTTTATCTCTCCCCCCTCTTTCTCTCTGTGGTTGTAAGATACATGTCATCTGATGCCCTTTACGAAATATTCTCTTCTTGATCAATCTTACCTTTTTTCACGCCAAATCCTGCCATAGCTCATATAAACTTCACCAACCATTCACCGACTATTTTTTACGACTACCATACTCAGAGATGCTTGAAAAACGCGTTTTTCGCTCTCGGGCCAACCGTCGTCTAGTTTTTCGTTCCGATGTTTTTTCGCACTGCGAACTTGTGTTTTTCGCGCGCTGCGCGGAGAGAAGGAGCAGAGAACGTAGAGTCATACATTGGGCGTTGGAAACTTGCTGAGCCGGACAGCGCACAGACAATGACAAAAGCGACCAACATTGAAACAACCGTCCGCGAATGAAAAGTTGAAACGTGCAGCGGTAGATCAAAAATGAATTCTACGACCTTCTTCCGAAGGCATCAACTGAATTCTACGAACTAGTTCTTCGTGCTCTTCGTGCTATTCATCGAAGATGGAAAATAGAGTGATTTTCCATTTCACTCTACAAATTCAAATCCTCACTATGTTCTCCGTACACTCACAGCACTCAAAAAAACGAAAAAACATGTCGTTGGTGAAAAAAACAAATTCATTTCCTCCAATGCATTTTTTTTCCCGTCCAACGCCAGATGGCTCTCGCCAGGTCGTTTATCAAGCCGGAAAGACAATTGCATTTTGCAAATTCACCGAATTAGGCAGTGGAACATCAATCATGACGACAATGTGCCTACGAAAGAGAACTGAGTAGGATCGATACATAATCCATTGCTGTCACCGTGCAATGAGAGGGCAAACACTTCCTCCTATGCAGAAAAGATCCAATGGATTCATCTCACCACAGATGTCACAAATTTTCACATCCGAGCGTCATGTCGCAACCCAAAAAAAACAGGATTGCCACACGATAGAAATCGAAAACAGCGTCGAAATAGCCCTGTCCAGGAACTACATGGGAGCTACCCACGCTAAGTTGAAACGGATTGGTCCACCATTTGGGATTTCCCTATTTTTTTTGTGCAGAGAGGCCGGCCATTTTCCTACTAAACATGGGTTTGACAAAAAAAACAGATACTGTGCATTCGTGAAATTGTATGAAATTGTTGGGTCTCAGTAGTGTGCAAACTGTGTGTTGTCTTACATGGTCTTTCTTAGACCTGCAGGTGGAGCATAATAGTTCAACATTTTCATGCTGCAAGGATGGGTGTTGTTTTCAACAAAGATAAACCCATATAGATCATCAATGATAATCAGAGAATAGACGACATCATGACATCTGCATCATAAACCAGACCGGATTAGGTAACCCATACACAGAATCAGATTTATCATATACCGGTGTCTTATATTATAGTATTATAATAACCCATACATAGAATCATATAGACACCTAGTGAATCAGCCCCGGGGGTCACCTAATCTGACTTTCTGACACGCTGAATGAAGCCCACCTGGATACCACCGTAGCTTGCTGTGCTCGAAGCGCGGGCCGGTCGTTGTTTCCGCCATGGAAGGAATTCCCAGGTCTGGTTGCCCGGTGTTGACTCACTGGGGTAGACAGCTGTGGGATTTTCGGGTCATTTTGTTTGGGAAAAGGTGTGGAACCATGAGAATTTTCGACCATTTTGGGAGTATCCTCGGTATCCTCCAATGATCCTCCAATATCCTCTATAGTTTGGAGAAACCATGCCAAAGCCATGAGGTTGGTTTGCTGACTTTACTTTGCTGCTTTGCCTTTGATTCGTGCGGTTTTCTGGATGAGGTATTCTCCTGATCAACAGGAATTGGAGAATTCCTATGAAAGATTGGTGTTTATCCTTTGAGCAACGGTAGCCTTGTGCCAGAGAAGCATACCATATGACCATATGCAGCATATACATACATTCGATGCTGATTCGATGCAGGATCAATTCGAAGAGTTCACCTCATCTATCTGGGAGTTGACTTCAAATTATACGAAAACCATGGTTTCTTGGTGTTTCTTGACAGTGTTACATTAGAAAACGGAAAGCGTTTTTCCCCAACAGCGTAAGCTAATGGGGTCTTCAGCCCAGAATAGCTCCGGTGTGCACTGGTGCAGGGGTAGGGTCAGGTTCAACGAGGTTCCGGACAAGGTTCGGAAGGTTCCGGAGAAGGTCTGGGAGGCTTTGGTGCAGAGAGAGGTCAGGTTCAACAGGGTTCCGGAGATCCAGAGAATGGTTCCAGTCAGGTTCAACAGGGTTCCGGAGATAGATTCCGGAGAAGGTCGGGGAGGGTTTGGTGGAGAGCCAGGTCAGGTGCAACAGGGTTCCGGAGAAGGTTCCGGAGAAGGTCTGGAAGGCTAGCAAGTGACACTATCTGATTTATATTCTGGCCGAGGACATTTCACCTGCGCAGCGCTCTCAAAGGTCTCAAAGCACACCTGTTTCCAACGGTCGTATTGAAGTGGACTTGGCCCAGTCTTCGCCAGTTCTGTTTACAAAAATGCTCCTCTCGGGTTGGCCTTGCCAGACACAGGTCGACGTCATGAGAGCCTGCAGAAGAAAGATGTGGAGCCAGCATGGAAAGCTTTGCATGCTTTGAGGCAAAGCAAAACCATGGAGGTGCACGAAAATCATTTCCTGAGAGCAAGTTTCGACGGCTTGGGGACCCACTGGCAGATCGGAAACTGGATCACGAAGACTTTGGACAAGATCTGTCAATCGGAGAACATCCACTACAATCCGGACGTCGATTAAATCGACCACCGCCTAAGGCCTCAGCGCAGAAGCGCTGAGCGCATGCATCGATTCCAACTTTGGGTTCTTAGAGCATACCAGCACTGCGTTGGCCAGCAAGAAAACTGGAGGACATGAGATTGGCACCGACGCACCATGCCTCGTCGCAGCTCCGCCGAGCACAAGGAAGAGCCGCCTTATCCAGTACACTAATCACTCGTCGAAAGTCAGGTCATACATATCACGCCACCCCATGATATATCTCATTGTATATCTCCGTAAAATTGTGGTTGAATCACTTTTTTTGGACTAGAAGATTCTGTTGCTTCCTTAGATCACCCTATTTCCGGGAAGCACTTCCTACACCATCCGTTCCGCATTTCCGCAGGTTCCATTTCCCTTCGGCCAGGCGCCGTTTGCTTGTGGTGCGACAGCGGTTGGCTTTAGCAGAAAACGTTACCATGTCAGCACAGAAATCAGATTTGGCCAGTATGAAACAGCTATATACATTGTGCTAGCACGTGATAAAGTGCAATGATGCTCACAGTTTGCTTCATGTGTCGCAGTTTTGCAGAGGCTTTTGACCGGTCCTGGCCTAGCCACCTTGTCCCGTCTTGCAAGATGGCAGACTTCCCAATGCCAGACAGCGGTCGCCGCCAGCAGACCCTGAGTTGCAGACACCAACTCGGGCGGGTCAGGGCGAGGACATTTCACCTGCGCAGCGCCCTCAAAGCACACCTGTTTCCAACGGTCGTATTGAAGTGGACTTGGCCCAGTCTTCGCCAGTTCCTGTTTACAAGAATGCTCGTCTCTGGTTGGCCTTGCCAGACACAGGCCGACGTCATGAGAGTCTGCAGGGGAAAGATGTGGAGCCAGCATGGAAAGCTTTGGATGCGTTGCGACGGAGCAAAACAATGGAGGATCTTTTCCTGGGAGCAAGTTTCGACGGCTTAGGGACCCACTTGCAGATCCCACACTGGATCACCAAGACTCTGGATAGGATCTGTCAATCGGCAGACACACACTACACTGCGGATGTCGATTACGACATCCGCCTTGGACATCCTCACCTGTGGGCATGTGCCGTTGCCAGAGTCGCAGAATTCGAAGGCCTGAGCGCAGAAGCGCTGAGCGCATGCATCGATTCCAACTTTGGGTTCCTTGAGCATACCAACACTGCGTTGACCAGCAAAAAAACTGGTGTTGCAGACACCAACTCGGGCGGGTCAGGGCGAGGACATTTCACCTGCGCAGCGCTCTCAAAGCACACCTGGTTCCAGCAGTCGCATTGAAGTGGACTTGACCCAGTCTTCTCCAGTTCCTGTTTACAAGAATGCTCGTCTTGGGTTGGCCTTGCCAGACACAGGCCGACGTCATGAGAGTCTGCAGGGCAAAGATGTGGAGCCAGCATGGAAAGCTTTGGATGCGTTGCGACGAAGCAAAACAATGGAGGATCTTTTCCTGAGAGCAAGTTTCGACGGCTTAGGGACCCACTTGCAGATCGCAAACTGGATCACCAAGACTCTGGATAGGATCTGTCAATCGGCAGCCACACACTACACTGCGGATGTCGATTACGACATCCGCCTTGGACTCACCTGTGGGCATGTGCCGTTGCCAGACTCGCAGACGTCGAAGGCCTGAGCGCAGAAGCGCTGAGCGCATGCATCGATTCCAACTTTGGGTTCCTTGCGCATACCAACACTGCGTTGACCAGCAAGAAAACTGGAGGACATGAGATTGGCACCGACGCACCATGCCTCGTCGCAGCTCCGCCGAGCACAAGGAAGAGCCGCCTCATCCAGTACACCGCCAGCCTCTGCACAGACAGCCGCTTTGCACCTAACGAGCTCAAGAAACGGCAGTTTCACATGGGCGATGCTACCTCGAAGGGCATCCGCACACAGCTGCTTCTCGTCTGCATGAATTGCCGCGTGCTTTCTCATTGTTCTCAAGACCAACGACACGAGAAAGATTCACACACTTTGCTGTTCCATTTTGATTCTGACACCGCCCGAGGCTGAATTTCTCCAGGTGCATCTTGTCTTCAGATGACTGCGCCAATGTCCTGGAAGTCAGGTTCAACAGGGTTCCGGAGAAGGTTCCGGAGAAGGTTTGGGAGGTTTTGTTGCAAAACCAGGTCAGGTTCAACAGGGTTCTGGCAGCCTTTGGTGCAGAGCCGGGTCAGGTTGGTGCAGAGCCAGGTCAGGTTTAAAAGGGTTCCGGAGAAGGTTCCGGAGAAGGTCTGGGAGGCTTGTTGCAGAGCTAGGTCAGGTTCAACAGGGTTGTGGGGTTTTGGGAATCTTTGGTGCAGGGCCAGGTCAGTTTCCAACAGGTTCAACAGGGTTTTCAGCGCTTGGCTTTGCAGCACGCTTCAGAAAGATTTGTAAAAATAAAACGTTGCGGCTTTTGGGAATGCCACCGAAGCTTATTTTTTTCTGAGTTTTCTGATGTGTTGTCTAATTTCTTCCGTAAAAACCAAGTGTTTTTTTCAGATGTGTTCTGTAGATTTTCCAATCATGCCATCCATCGCATCAACAAAATCCCAGATGGCAGCACGTCAGGCTCTGCCGGAGACTGGTGGCCTTCTCTATACTTCTGCTGCACGATGTGACTGCCGCAGGAACTTCTGGTCGCAGCTCGGTCGGAGAGTGGCTCCCATATCCAATGGTTTGTTCTCATTTTCCCAATTCTGCATGGTAATTTGGTGGTATACCCTACTTTCAAACACACCCGGGTTTTAGATGATTCAAGGATTTTGGATGGTGATACAATGAAGACAATTTACAGTATATAACCCTATCAAGTCAACCATTATTTAGGGGATGTTCGAACAGGCCAATAGGTGTTTTAGTTGCACTGCTTTCTTAAATAGACATAAATAGACTGACCATTTCATATTTGACACCTGATGTCAATGAATTTTCCATAGGTTCTAGTGTGAATGAAAACATATGTATGCATTCTTTTCTGAACGGAATATGGATCAACATGATTTTTTTTAGGCATACTGCATTTCTTACCATCTCTGTTCAGAGAAACAGTGGCTTTTTGTGTATGGGTCAAAATTGGGTATCCTTAATTTTTTTCTGATACAAAAACTAGAGAACATCTGCAGCCCCCCTTGGCCTGAAACTTTGACCCATCTTCCAAGAAGTTTTAACCATAGATTAACCATAGATTAACCATAGATTAATAGATTAACCATAGATTAACCATAGATTAACCATAGATTAACCATAGATCAACCATAGATTAACCATAGATTAATAGATTAATTAATTGATTAACCATAGATTAACCATAGATTAACCATAGATTAACCATAGATCAACCATAGATTAACCATAGATTAACCATAGATCAACCATAGATTAACCATAGATTAATAGATTAATTAATTGATTAACCATAGCTTTTATAGCGTTGTGCTCTCATGTGTAGCGATGTTTTATCGAGGTTTTTTCCCCTTTGCAGAAGGATTTTTCCTTAATGAATTGTGCGCTCACTAGATTCCACTTGCAAAAGTATTGCTTTTTGATGAAGCTGCGCCATTTTTCGCAAAAAAAATTGCAGCAATCTTATTTTCGGGGCTGCAAGCACATTGACTTTTTGGACTCCAAGAAGTGGTCCTCCCCAATGGCGCTGAAAGCTGGATTAAACAAAACCCAACTTTGATTTGCTTGATTTGCTTGCGTAATGTGAAGAGCTTCGTGTTTCGAGCAGGTCACAAGGTTCCACACTGCCAAACGTGGGGTTGCCACGCGCTACCGCTTCAGAGCCAAGTCAGCGTTTCTGACCGTTTCGTGCGAGTTTGCGCACAAAAGGGCTGCTCTTTTTCACGTTGCGGAAATGTATTTGTTCCGTTGCGGCGACTTTTTGGGTTGCAAAGCTGTGTTTTCTTTTCTGCAATTTTTCTTGCCTCGGCCGGTTTTTTCTTGTCTTGGACAGATTTTTTCCTGCCTCCGAGGATTTTTCCCAGTGTCTCCAGAATGCAGTTTTTCTGCTGCCAAGGTGTTTTTCTGCTGCTGCAAGGTGTTTTTTTTTCTCCTGCTTTGAATTTTCCCCGCTGCGAAGCGACATTTTTTGCTGGTTTTTCCCACTGCGGATTTTTTTTCCGTCCAACGCCTCTTGGCTTTCGCCAGGTCGTTCAACACGTTCAGTTGGTTTTTCCCGCTGCGGAAACCGTTTTTCCGCTCCAAGGCGTTTTTTTCCTGCTGCCAAACATTTTTTTTTTGTTTTTTTCCCCGCGAACTTGTGTTTTTGTTTTTCGCGCGCTGTTGTGTCCATGGCAAATCTTTGTTCGTGGTTGTTTTTGTTGGATCTTGCCCCTTTCGCTTTTTGCTTTGCATGTCTGCTGGATGGCGAGACGCAAATCTGGCTGGGGATCTGCGTGTCGCCTTTTGTTTTGTTGTTTTTGTGTCTTGTTCTGGTTTTATGATTTGCCATGCTGCATAACCACCTGCGTCCATGAAGAATTCATTTCAAACTGCTTCTTCACATGCAAGGACCGAGTCTTAGAGCGTGATCAGCCATACAAGAGAAAAAAATGTGTTTTTCGCGCGCTGCGCGGAGAGAAGGAGCAGAGAACGTAGAGTCTTACATTGGGCGTTGGAAACTTGCTGAGCCGGACAGCGCACAGACAATGACAAAAGCGACCAACATTGAAACAACCGTCCGCGAATGAAAAGTTGAAACGTGCAGCGGTAGATCAAAAATGAATTCTACGACCTTCTTCCGAAGGCATCAACTGAATTCTACGAACTAGTTCTCCGTGCTCTTCGTGCTATTCATCGAAGATGGAAAATAGATTGATTTTCCTTTTTATTCTACAAATTCAAATCCTCACTATGTCTTCTCCGTACACTCACAGCACTCAAAAAACGAAAAAACATGTCGTTGTAGGGTTTCGCCATCTCCAATAAAACGTGCAGTATATGATAGGGCGTCGCACTGCTCAGTTTTGTTTTGGTCTTTTGATGAGTTGTTTGTTTTTTGGACTCCCCCTCCCTTCGCCCCTCTAGACTCCTAACGCATGCAACTAGAAGGGCACTTTGTACCTTGGCAGGGACTTGGGAACAGATCCGGACTAAAATTCTGAGCTTTCGGGGGGGTGACGGACCCTTGGTGGCCACCTGCTTGGGGACCCCTTCTAATACTAATAGTATTATACTGTCCCGAGTCCCCGTTGGACAAAAAAATATCAAACGCCTTGTCAGTGCGATTCAAACTGAAAACCTGAAAAATCTCAAAACCGCGGTTCATCTTGAAATTGCATAGTAAACTGAAAACCTCAAAAAGCTCAAAAATCTCAAACGCCTTCAGCGCGACTGAAACTGAAAACTTCAAAAATCTCAAAACAGCATCTTGCGCATCTTGCGCTTTCTTGCGGAGTCCGGGCGACATATTAAATTGTTCGATTTGTTTGATGCCCGTTTTTGGGGTTCGAAATGTATATAGATTTCGGACTCCCAAAGGTGGTCCTCCCCAGTATTCATCGAAGATAGAAAACAAATTGATTTCCCATTTTATTCCGATAAATCATGTTTTCGCAAGCATTCTAAATCCTGTACACTGGAGAGTGTCCTCTCATGTGTGCTTTTCCTCGCATCCGCCACAGGATGACGTCTGAAACAGACAGAAATGCATTGTTCGTGGCAGAACTCACATGGTTTCTGCACTCACGTGCGTATTGTGAAGCTGCTCATAGGTCGCCTCCCACAAGGGGGGGGGCCGTAAAAACTTTGCACCGCTAAGTTGTGCCTTGAAAACCAAAACAAAACCTATCGCGATCAAAGTTACCCAAAGGCTTTTCCACAAATAAACAAACTTATTATAAATCTATGAGGCTCAAGAAATTCAAGACCCAAAAGAAACAATAAGGGAAGACTCGTCTTTCCAATCAACTCACACCAAGACAACTTGACTCCGCGCATCCTTCCTTCTTTTTAAACCACGATGGGGAAACGAGTCATCAGTTGAATTCAATGAGATATATTTGAGATTAATCTGGACTACCATTTTTGAGGATCAGATGTCTGGTGGGAACTTCAACACAGGAGTTGTTTCAGAACCAAAAATGAAAACAAACAAAGATGTTACGAATCTGAAAGAGATTTGTAGTAATGGAAATGTTTTGTCATAAGAATCAAATCTGAACACCATCCATATTAGTTCCCATCCAAATCATCCCAGAACATTCCTTGGTAGCCAGAGTAAAATTCTTCAAAATCAAATGCATCTTGGTCATTTTGTTGAACAAGATGATCTTCATATTGTTGTTGTATGTGAGCAGCTTCGTCGGGATCAACTTCCAGTTGATCAGGTTGCGATTCAGAATCAATCTCTGTAATGAGACTGAGTTCTGGAGAAAAAGGTGCCTGATCTTCAAATTGCGATTGTGGAAGCAAAACAGGTACGGATTTTACGAATTTGGTTAACATGGCGACTGAAAGACAATCAGCTGCTGCAAACAAGGAAGAAACAAGGAGCTCCGGATTTGGGAGTCTCTTGAATTGATGAAAGGAAATGAGTTCTCGAATTAAGCAATTCAGAAAGGACAAATTTGAAATAAATTGGTCAAGATCCGAAGGGAGAAGAGAATTTGCGAAGAGGAAGACGGAGGTAGAAGGATGATCGACGAAGAAGCTGGAGACTGGTTCAAAAATGTCCAGAAAATGAACAATGTATTATTTCTAGTGAAGGTGGTTGCTGGTTGAACCTAGTTACAAACACCAAATGCAACACATGCCACCCATCTGAAAAACATCCGAAACCAAAACGCCAATGTTCCTGCCAAAAAACGTCTTGCGAAAAAACGGACATCACTGTGAAAACGCAAAACCCTGACATGCCAAACTGTGGAGTTTCGAACGCTCTGTCTTTTTAAACACCAGTGACGACGGGCTGTGCAAGTTCAGATCGTCAATCTGTCGACCCAAGGTTGTCATCTCCAGTTCAAGCAATTTATAAATCGCCAGAAAGTATGTAGAGGCATCAAGCTGAAATATATCCAACTGTTGCATTGTGTCATCCAGTCGATCCCTGCGTCATCAAGTCGATTTCCAGCGGAAGTCTTGGGAAAAAAGACAAACAAGGGAGGGCTGGGTGGGGCAACCTCAACCAAAAAAGTATGAGGCTACCCGCCACCCTACCCTGCTAAGCCAGAAATGTCGCACATTGTATTTTTCAAATGGATCTCCCATTGATCAAGTACCTAACACTGCATAGCATGTCTGGATATCCACAGACCAAAAACCACCATCGAAGATCCTGTACCAAGTTGACTGCAAGGAAACCACTGAAACTGCATGAAGTCGAATTCGTTCAAAACATGTTGTTGATTTGCAAGAGAATCGTTCTTCGAGTGATCCCACTGCAACGAAGGAGGAGGCAGCACAACCAAGAGGAACAACCAGCAACACGAAAACAAGTTTTCTCACCAACACTAGAAATAAGGAGCTATCAACAAGTTGACCGCATACTTATTTCTAGTGAAGGTGGTTGCTGGTTGAACCTAGTTACAAACACCAAATGCAACACATGCCACCCATCTGAAAAACATCCGAAACCAAAACGCCAATGTTCCTGCCAAAAAACGTCTTGCGAAAAAACGGACATCACTGTGAAAACGCAAAACCCTGACATGCCAAACTGTGGAGTTTCGAACGCTCTGTCTTTTTAAACACCAGTGACGACGGGCTGTGCAAGTTCAGATCGTCAATCTGTCGACCCAAGGTTGTCATCTCCAGTTCAAGCAATTTATAAATCGCCAGAAAGTATGTAGAGGCATCAAGCTGAAATATATCCAACTGTTGCATTGTGTCATCCAGTCGATCCCCTTTTAACCGCATCTTCTGCTAACACCGTCATGATTTCCTGCAGAGCCTCTTTGACATTTGTTTCAGGAACATTCTGCGCCATGAGCTCAGCTACATCTCCTCTTGACGGTTCATCAGCAACATTTGAGGGCGTAGGAACCCTGGTGTACCAAGGTGTGGTGCAGCTGGACATTTCTAACTTCAACAGGAAATCAATCAACAAGTTTGCTGTAAAATTGCGACCGTTTCCCGAGATGGCAACATCCCTGGCTGAGTTGTTGTCCACAAAGCAAATCATGGACATCGCCGATAGCACCTCCTTCCAAACTGAGAAGGCGACTACCATCGCTAGCAATTCTGATTCAAAGATGATTGTCTTCTTTGTGTCAGCACCGAGAATTCCCATTTGATCTTCATCCAAAGAGATTGAGAAAAATGCCACCTTGTTTGCAAAGGGTCCGACAAGGACTCCACCTAAGCCACACTTCCATTTTTCTGCAGTTGGTTCATAACATGCGTCCGTGTACACATGCCACACCTTGTCAGTGCACAAGTGAATTTTTCGAGGTTCTGCATATTCCAAAAATACTGCAAACCGGCGCAGAGCTTGAGCTGTTCGATTTGACACTTTAGCATTCTGAAACTCGCAGGTGTGATTGGAAACTTCCCTCATGCATAACTTTCCCAAACGACCAAAAAGTTGCCCATCCATGAACTGCATTCTCCCTCTGAGCCTCTGCGCCTCTACCAGCGTCATGCTCCCCTTCTGCAAGATGGTATTGATGGTATCGATCAATTCATTTGCTCGCTTCTTAGTGTTGGTGAACTTCACCAGCCCCTGAGGGCACTCATCCAAAATGATTCTAATGCCCAGGGCTCCAAATTCTCTTGCGAAACTTTCGGCTTTCTCACCCTCTTCAGCAAATCTCCACCCCAATAGTTTGAAAAGCAGGGACACAGCCTGATTTGTATTGTTGACATGCTCATCTCTGGCAAACACGACATAATCGTCAAAGAAACAACTCCATATGAGATTAAGCGCCTTCACACCTATGTACCATATGGCATTGGAGAGTCTCAAAAAAGAATATACACTTCTTGTTGCTCCAAACGGCGCCGCGAGCAGCTGAAAGACCTCTGCCTTGGCCTTCTTGGGGTTATATACTGCAACAAAAGCAAACGACAGCGACTGCGTGGCTATTGCTAGTTGCTTGTATGCCGACTTCAAGTCAAAGGATCTGCCCATCAAGGGCATTCCTTTGTTGCATTTCAAAACTTCCAAAAGCATGGCAGCTATGAAATCCGCTGAGTGTGGTTTGGGTGATTCCACTGTTTGTACCGTTTGATTCACACCACTGGCACTGAGATCATCTATCAAACGAATTTTCCCTGGCTGCCTTAACCCGAACCTCCTGCTGACTACAGCATCATTTGGAAGGTGATCCAATTCAAGGGGCCCACAAGCCCAACCAAATTCCACTTCCTCCAACGTCTTGCTATAAACCATTTCATCGATCTCCCCATCGCCCGAAGATGAACACTTGTAAAAATTTAGCAGTCTCTCAGAGCGACTCGCCTGACTGACTTGTTCAATCGTTTTTTCGGCTGGCTTGAACGCTTTCTCAAAAATTCCGTAAGGTTGTACCTCACCAACCAGCTCTGTACCTTGTACCAGCTCATCAAATGCTCCAACATCAGGATAGTTTAAGTCCAATAAAATTTCCTTGAAGAGTGCCAATCTTTTTGGCTCCAAAATCTTTGCAGCATGCTCTGGTAATGCCTTCTTGATTTCCATGTCCTCATGTCTCAATTGCTTTGCACGCTCAGTCCATTTTGCAAACCAGAGGCTTCTGTCCCTAGGGAGTCTATGCAAACTGCCTTCACAAAAATTGTTGCTGATGGCTTCTTGCAAAACACTAGGCACCAATCGCGAAAACAACCTGGGGTGACCTCTTTGCACTGCCTCCCATATGAACTCCTCTGGCTCGAACGGAATGCCCCAAGCTTGCTCAAACAGACCTATCCTTGAATTTCCAGTATCCAGCATACCCCCACTTGACCGTAGGGGTGTCACACGCAACAACTGAGCTCCCTTAGGCAACATCGGCACATCAGTCTGACAAGAGTCGGGAACGGGCCAGCTAGTCTTGAGACGTTGCATGGGTGCCACTGGTGCCTTTGCTAGTGCCTCAAAAGGCCCTGTGATGCGGACAATGGTTTTGTGCTCCCGCACAACAGGAGGAAACTTTGCTGCTTTTGGCTGGGCCGTTGCAACTGCGCGCATGGATTTCAGGGACACCTCATGATCATCTCCGAACTGTTCCTGGGGCGGACTCCACCCATGTGATACCAAAATTGAAGCAAAAACTCGTGCTATCGCCTGTGTCAGTCCTAATGGATATGCTGTTTCTTCGCTTGTTGAAAAATGGGTGCCTGAAGCTGAGTGCACCAACCCCCAAGGCTTGTGCTGATGGGTGTCTGATGTGCCTGGGCAGAACCTGCATAATGAAGAGAAGGCTGGATGGTTCCATGCCAACACTGTCCATTTTGGTCTAGCTCCTCCGTACGCACAAGCCTGATGTGCTGTATACTGCATCGGTGCTTGAATCTTTTTCCAAAAGTTTGTAAGCCAAAACAGTGATGACCGCGGATTTTCCACTACAACAATGAGACCCAGCTCATGCGCCATGTCTACCACTTTTGCCAGAAAATCATAAAGCCTATTTGCAGCAGACACCCTAGCTCTATCATTTGGTCCAAGGCCTGGTAGCCCTTCGGGCCAAGCTGCCGAACGGAGAGGTCTCGGCCCAAGCAACGCCCTGCCATGTGAATCACGCAACTTGATGTTCCTGGCAAGTGAACAGGTACCGCATGGAGGAGCTAAAAAGACTCCCACCACCAACGGGGATTTCAACCACTGCATGCATATGAGTTGATCTGCAGGCAATGTAAGGTCCAGGCGTCTGGCCGCTGAAACTGCTTTGTCCAATTTGTGGTCCACCCCAAAAGAATCCCTAAAACCAACTGCTTTGAGACTGGCCGTCAAACGTGCACTGCCACAAAAAATTTCAATCACCACAGGGCATGTCAACTGTTCAACGCTAAATGCAAAACCATCAGTTGCTGCTGCTTGCATTTCAGGCTGGCCCGAACCCAGGCTTTGATTTACTAAATCTGGCACTTCTTCTGAGTTCTGAGGGCTTGGCTGAACCTGCACTACAGGTTTATCCGCAGCTTCTGCTGCATCACTTGACGACACAAAATCGTAATCCAAACTGCTGTCAAAATTTGTCCCCTGCACAGGCTTCGCTGAGTTGAGACCATCCATTGTTGTCGCTTGCATGGATTCATTAAATTTGCTGCTCCCAACATGCTGCATGCATGGATTATTGAGGGCAACGCTGAAATACGGAGAATCACCTGAAAAATTGTTTGAAACTTTGCCATCACCAATCTTCGAATCCTTTTGCAGTCCTTCCACTGCGAGTCACAGGTCAGACTCATGTTTTTGAATCCCATGCAACCCATAGCACTTTGCACACACATGTAAGCCTCGCCGACACTTGGCTCCGTCGGCTGCATCTGGGCAACCTGAACTGCTGTTGTAGCCAAAACAGATTGGGTCGCCTGCTGGATTGGATGAAGTGCCGCCCAACTTGAAGATGTGGTTAGGAACCCTGACCTTGCCCTTGCTTCCTTTCTTTCCACCCTTGGGTTTCAGCCAAGGTTTCTGCACATGCGAGTTGGATCCCTTGCCACCATGAGTCACTGCCGGCTTCGATACCTTTGACGGTCCAGGTCCAGTGTCTTTCTTGGCTATCAATGGCAGCAAAGAAAAGGAAACTCTATAACTCTGGAGACTCTCCATGAGCTTCACATCCAACGCTAAATCACCTGATTCATCCCTTTTGGGTTGAACACCCTCCTCCAACAACATCTGCCACACCGTCTTGTCGGCCGACACAAGCTGACTCACTGATGTTCTTGCATAGCCCGTTGGTGGGTCCCTATGCAAATGTCCAAACAAAGTGGTGAGGTATCTGGTGTAGCTCTCATGAGTGACCAAATCCGCGAACACCAACGCTATGCCTCGTCGCTGAAAAGCTTCTTGTACTTGAAGCGCTGAAGTGACCGTCATATCAGGAGTATCCTGTTTTTCCTTCACAACCAGGTTCTCTGCTGAAATGTCCAACTGCTTTGTCGGGGACTTCTGATTCAACACTTCATGAGTCCTTGAAATGCATTTTTCAGGAGGGATGTATTTGATTTCATTGAGTTGCATCATACTGGCTGTGGTGTCCAAAAGGGAATGTCCAGGTTCAAGCGGTCCTTCGATGAGAAGGCCTGTCAGTCTTCTTTTAATGGCCCTCATTTTGGTTTCCCGCTCAACCACGGGTACCTTCTTGATTGCAGAAGCATCCGTCGCATTGACCTGATCCTGTAAGGATGCTAGGACCATTGTTTGACTCTCAAATAGGAGACGTTTGGCCCCAGCAACATCAGCTATTGTTGCACCTGTCAAAAGCTGTCCAGTCACCCAAGCTTCGAAACCTTCATCTGAGATGTTTTGACCAGGTTGGCCATGGGCATATGCAAACGTACCAAATGTCTGCAAACCAGTCCTTTTAAGGCTGCGTTTCAACTCCTCCGACAATTTCAAGTCGATTGTACGCTGGATAAATTGTGCCTCAGAGTCCAGCAAGCTTGCCACGGCGGCAAAATTGAATCCTGAAAGCGGAAGAGATCACACACCAGTCGACTTGCACGACAAAATGTTTTACAAAGTTTTAATTCAAAGTGTAACCAAACTCGACATGCCAACAACTCACACCAATGAAAAGCTGAAGGGTTCCAAGACATGTCCAACACCTAATTGTGAAAATCTCTGAATGTCTGCAACATGTCTATCTGAACCACCGTGCTCATGAGCCACGCTCCACAAGCATCACTCATCACATCAAGTGCCACGCAACCTTGATGTCTTGTCAACAAGCGATTTTAATGACTGTGACCCAATTCTTTCACGATCACTCAATGCCAAAGAACATGTGAAATAACAAAATCCAAATTCAAAATTCTCACAAGATCTCGCAAAATGATTGACCCTTGTCACAACAAAATAAGGGTGCCACGCAACCCATTTCCATCTCACCACGTGAGACACTCTTTTAACCCAATGCTTTCGGAAGTGCATTGTCTTTCACTGCATTGCTCTTGCAACGCTTGCACATATCTACAGAGTCAAACTGGGTGGTGTACTTATAGTTCTGGTTCAGCGACCTCCCACACGAAATCATGCGGGCGCCTTTTCCGTCCAATACTGCAGGGTCAGAGTAATGGACCAACTTTGACACATTGTGCATCACAAACAAGCCTGCTAACGGTCCAACTGCATGGTGTCTAAAGCACTTGACTTGGGGCTTTGGAACCTCCTCTGACGAGTCTGAGTCTTCCACAGATTCTGAACCATCAGATGATGCTTCAAAGGGTTCGTCATCAATGACCACAGCCTCCTCAGGCCCCACCAATGCGGTCTCCGGGTCTGTCACCTCATCTTCGACCTTGACAACCTGGCAATCCACAGGTTCTGTAGGCTCCACCGTCACTGACGCCACTGGGTGGTACCCAGACCTGGGAGCGTCTGGCAAAAACTCCCCACTGTGAATTTTCCTCAGCACATCTTGAAGTCGATGCACCGCTCCAAAAGCAAGGTCTCTGGCATAGACCGCACTCGACTCCAAGTAGGCACTTGAATGCCGGCCCAGGATTGCGCGGTCTGCTGGACTCATTCCTGATTTGGCTGCCCATGATAACAAGGTCGCTTTCAGCGAGTGTGACGACACCCTCGGCTCACTTTGGTTCACATTGTCACCTTCAAGCATGAGCCGCAAAAACTTTGTCACCTCATGTGAAGTCAGGCCACGCCGACAGTGGGTGTTCCCATCCGACCCCGGTGGTCGAAAGAAGGGCCCTCCAACACGGCCTTCAAACTCAAGCCCAAAATTTTCGAAAGCCACCTTTGCAGCTGAAAGCCACTCACAACCGGTGATGCCCACCGCTGGAATCACTATAGGCAGAAGTCTCGACTTCTGAGCTGCTGACCGGGCCGTTTTGTGGGTTCTTGTACTCACCTCCATGTACCCACACTCATCCACAAAATCCAGGGCCACCTCCTCCACATTCTGCAAGTCGCTATGCCGACAGCGCCCATACAAAGCAACCAAAAGATGTGCGATGACTGCTCTGTCCACTGTGTTGCAATCACCATCTTGCAACTTATCATGCAGCCACCTCACCTGATTGACGGTGAGCACACGGGCCTGTTTCAACGGTGCTTTTTCTGCATGCATGATCTCTGCAAGCCCTTTGAGTCGCCTGCTTTCACAGATGGGCCCCAAGCCAGCAAAACCAAACACATGTAATGCGTATGCACATGCCGACAAAAAGCTGGAACCTCTGGTTGGTGCTGCATTCTTCTCACGCAGCTCTGTCAAATACTGCCACGCCTCCATCTCGGAAAACTCCCTGCCATCGTTCTCCGACGTCTCAGCCCTCCATCTGATGAATTTCAAAAGGGCATTTGCACGGGTTATGGCAGTTGTCCTGGACCGGATGCCAATGACAGCTTCTATAACTTGAAAGGCTCCTTTTTTCTGAATGTCCATGTTCCCAAGGCCAATTATGTCACGGCCTACTGCCGATGCCAGCATGTTGACCCTGATTATGCAAAACCACTTCTCCACAGCTGACTCCAAAAGGCTCTGTCGTTGCTGAAAGAAAGACTGGTCAGAACCTGAGGCGAGGGCATGCTCGAAATAAGCACCAACCAACTGTGGCCGACTGCACATAGCCACTGACAGCTCATCAAGTGGTTCCACTGCAGCTTCCATGCAATGCTCAACCCACTGTCTTGGCTGTCCAGCCCACTCCAGTCTGCCACTGTCAGGTTTCTTGAAAATGCTCTTGAACACACCCTTTTCCCATGGCATGCGGACCTTCAGAGACCCTCTTGTGCTCAAAAACGCATGGGACAAGAACTGTTCAAAATTGTCCTGAGACAACGTCGGTCCTCGAGGAACTTGGCTTGCCCCTAAGTCAATTGCGCCCTGAGTTTTGTCAAGCTGCCCTCCTGCACCATGCACAACACTTGAATCATCTAAATCACTGTTGCAATGCCAGTCTGCGGAACCAGGCCCAAAGACAACCTCATCTGAAGCTGCAGCCCCAACTGGGTTGCCAGGGCTCCCAACGTCGAGGTCCACTCCAACACGCTGCCAACCATTGTCAGAATCAACACTGGCATCATCTGAACCACCGACAACATACTTAGTCAGAGTCTTGGATCTCCACGGCATGACTGCTGGAACTCTCAGTGATGCTGCTGCTACTGCTCAATTCTTGGTCCCACACACCCCCACCTTGACCGGCAAGAACCAGCGCAGGTTGAACTGGAGGTGTCGGCACTGAGAAACCGGATCCCTGATAATGGATGCGGATTGCAGTTGCTGTCAATAAGAGGTCTTTGGTTTCCAAACACAAGTAGACACAAGACTGCAAATATCTTTGTGACTCCTGCGGTGACAGCAATGACAAAATTTCCGAGTGAACGGCGAACCAGCCGGGAAAATGAATGATAAAAGCGTTCTGAGGGTCACACTCCGAGAACCGCTCCAAGCTAATCCACATGTAAAATGCCAAACAACAGCCACCAAATGAATGCCACTGCTGAAATGAAACCACAGGAAAAGAAGATACCGTCTCTGAAGGTAATCCTCACTGGGGCAACTGGCACCGGCAACAGCACCACAGGACTCGACGCAGCAACGCGTCCACGGGCTCTGGCGCCCATCCACCGCGCGGCCCAGTGCAACTAAAAGAAAAACCAGAAACTGATCTGCATGACACTCCAAAAACCGATGTAAACCAAACAAACATGCAACCAAACAAGTTGACATGCAACCTCAACCAAAAAAGTATGAGGCTACCCGCCACCCTACCCTGCTAAGCCAGAAATGTCGCACATTGTATTTTTCAAATGACATCCTAGATCTCCCATTGATCAAGTACCTAACACTGCATAGCATGTCTGGATATCCACAGACCAAAAACCACCATCGAAGATCCTGTACCAAGTTGACTGCAAGGAAACCACTGAAACTGCATGAAGTCGAATTCGTTCAAAACATGTTGTTGATTTGCAAGAGAATCGTTCTTCGAGTGATCCCACTGCAACGAAGGAGGAGGCAGCACAACCAAGAGGAACAACCAGCAACACGAAAACAAGTTTTCTCACCAACACTAGAAATAAGGAGCTATCAACAAGTTGACCGCATACTGACTGAACAAAGGAAGGCCCAGTGGCGGCCTGTGAAACTGTCAAAAATATTCTCAAGAAGAAAACACACGATATTGAGAAGGCGGACCAGTCGTTGTCCGTTGTCAATGTGCATCGAAAGCCATTCACGAAGAGTCTCGCTCAGAGTATCCATACCTGGCAAGAAGAACAGAATAAGAGGGTGAGGAGGGAGGGAGAAAATTTTCAACTGCAAATGTAAAAGATCAATGTTTGGTTCTTGAAATTTCTTGAGCCATGGCCACGGAAATAAAATAAGTCTGAGGGAATTTCCGATCTCACAGATTTAAAATAAAGATATGTCTAACGATGTTAGAAATAGTTCTTATTATAAATCTATGAGGCTCAAGAAATTCAAGACCCAAAAGAAACAATAAGGGAAGACTCGTCTTTCCAATCAACTCACACCAAGACAACTTGACTCCGCGCATCCTTCCTTCTTTTTAAACCACGATGGGGAAACGAGTCATCAGTTGAATTCAATGAGACATATTTGAGATTAATCTGGACTACCATTTTTGAGGATCAGATGTCTGGTGGGAACTTCAACACAGGAGTTGTTTCAGAACCAAAAATGAAAACAAACAAAGATGTTACGAATCTGAAAGAGATTTGTAGTAATGGAAATGTTTTGTCATAAGAATCAAATCTGAACACCATCCCATCCTCATAAATTTGATTGTTGTGAACCTTCAAGCTTTCTGAGAAATTCCTTGATGATGAAGTCAAAGACTTCTAATGGAAAAACAAAACATTCAGCGCCAAGGTCTCGTACTTCATCCAGTGAGTCTCTGGATGGTCCATCCGCGATGTTAGACGAGGAGTTCACTCTGGATATCCAAGGTACGAATTGGAGCCGTTGTTCCAGATCAAGAAAGAGGTAGACAAGAGATCTTGATGAATGATTGATAGAGCCGGCATTGATCAAAGCTGATTGTGCCGCAGAGTTGTCAACGTGAAAGAACACGCGCTTTGACCTCAACTCCTCCTCAAAGGCAATGCAGGCCATAATGACCGGCAGAATCTCCAACTGATGAATCTTCCCACCGACAGTTTGAACCTGCTCGTGAGTAGGTGAAAATGAAAAGGCCTTAAGACAATCTCCACGTTCATTCACTAACACAGCACCGACTCCAGCGACTGAATCTGAGTCACCAACTGGTTCCAAGGACCCGTCCGTGAAGACATGCACTACTTCAGACCATCCGAAAAAGACTTTCCTTGGCATACCGACCTTCAGGTGTGAGATCATGATCTCAAGAAGTCTTCTTGTGTTCGGATCTATCCTTTTAGAGTGTTTCAGACACTCATACCTTCCCAGGTCTTTTAAAACGGATGCAGCCGTCCGCCCGTATAGTTGCGAACATGCGAAGCTAAGTCTACTTCTTAGCCCCTTTGCATCACGGCCACATATCTTGCCAGAGGAGAGGACCGCTTCAATTCTTCTGACAAGATCTTCAACCCGTTGATCGGTATTCTTGATCTCAAAGGAGTCTCCAGGCATCTTATGCAAATCAAATGCAACACCCAGGGCGCTGAAGACTCGAGCAAAATCCCTGTTTTTCTTCTCTGCTGTACTGAGGTTGAGTCCCAGGACTTCGAAAATGGTCCTTATGGCTAGGTCCGTCCCCTTAGCCAAAGACTTCCTCGTGACGACAGAGAAGTCGTCAAAGTATGAGGTGACTGGGGCCTTTAAGAGAGTACAGCAGATGTTGTTGATGGCTGCTGCTGTCCTCAGAAACGCATGGACGGAAGCAATGGCGCCAAATGGCATGGTTGCCATTTTAAACAGTCTTGGCTTCTTAATGTTGGGATCGAAGACGCAAATGATCGCTTTTCCACGCTCACTTGCATGAATAGGAAGCTGGCGGTAAGCTGCCTCCATGTCATATGTACGTCCCAGCAAATCGTCCATGCCTGATCCCATCAAGCGCTTAATGAGGGCTGCAATCTCGTCAACCCCTTGCAACGCAATCTTGTCAGTGGACCCAATGGTCGCATTGATACTTGAAAAGGAGAAATCGTCAATAGCTCTCGATTTGTCACCTTGCTGGATGATGAACCTTGGTGACAATACATCTCCTCTATCAAGGTCCTCCACATTTACTTCTTCGACGATCCAGCCCTTCCGGACTTCCTCCAATGTAATCTCCAGAAGATCTGAAGCCAACTCCCCTGAAGAATTCTGCTCACACCTGAAGATTGCAGATTGATTGAGAAAGGGAGAAACCGATTCAAGAGTAGACTTCGAAATCTGTGGAGGCGTCGTTTGTCTTGTGAAAAGTCCAGAAGGGTTAAGCCAGCCAGTCAGCATGAAGCCAGCTTCCAAATCTCCAACAATATTCACGTCTGGATGTTGTATTGAGGACAGCAACTCTTCGAGAAGACACAGACGCTTCTTCGAATTGATGGCCTTGACGACATCATCACAGTTATGCTTGCGCTTCCTTTCCGAATCGTTCAGTTCCTTCGCCCTGTCCAAAATGGACTTCAGAGTTTGTGCCTGTTCCCTCATGTATTCATCTTGAGGCTTTGATGCCATGTCTTCGATGGCTTGAGGATACCAACCCCAAGAGGAAGAATCAATTTGACTCGGATGTTTTGTCCCAGCCAACTTCTGTAAATAGGTACATGGGGAAATCGGAACGAGAACCTTCATCTTTCGTGAGTCATCGGTCCGAGTTGAATACTGAGCTTTTGAAGACGACCCATCATCAAACTGAAGCTCAGGAGGGAAAACAGTCCCTTTGAGAAAAGGAGAATGAAGTTTGTCATTTGGAATACAAATGTCAGGTAATTCAGATTGAGCAACCCAAAGATCTTGAAAAGAGGATGGTAAGAAAGAAAATTGAGCACCACGAGGTTGAATGCCAACTGATCCTCGAAGAAGATGTCGAGCATGACGAGGGTCGCTTGTGTCAAAATCGAAGATGTGAGATGGTGGTAGACAAAAGTTTTGATGAAGAGCGATGTCAGACATGAGAGAAGCGATTGCAAAACAAAGTTGAAGAGGATATGCTGCTTCTTCAGCCGTATGAAAATGAATAGAATCTTCAGAGAAAGATCGCCAAGGAGCATGTTCGTGAGCTTCATCACATAGAATTGCCAAAGACGTAAGGTCAAAAATTGCTAATAAGCCAGTGCGTTTCGGGCGAGAGCCACCGAACATACAATTGTGTAGCAAGATTTTGGGGAAATTCTGATGTCGTTGAGAGATCCAAGGAGTAGACCAGAATAAAGAATCAAATGGATTCTCAATCACCCAATAGAGACCCAGAAAGTCGCAAAGAGATGCAATACGATCACAAAGTTCATAAAGAGAATTGGCCGACAATACTCGTTCGAGGTCCATGCCAGTCAGATCTGGTAGTCCATCTGGGCATAGATCAGATCTCAATGGACCTGCAAAAGCCTGGCCAAACCTGTTCTTTGCAGGGATATTTCTGGCCCGCGATGCCGTACCGCACGGAGGTGCCATCCAAACAAGAAAAGGCTTTTGATGACGGATCAGGTCCAATAGCAAAGATTGGTCATGCTGAATGGTAAGGTCCAATTGCATTACGCGAAACTGGTGAGACTGTGTATGGTCAACCGCAATGGTCTGGAAGCCAAACTTCACAAAGGTTGAGGAAAGGTTGCACGATCCAGCAAAAACTTCGATGATGAGGAGCTCACCAATAGATGGCATTCTGCTGGCTGCTGATGAATTCGGATGTGAACCTGCAACTGACTTCGAGGGCAATGGTTCGTCATGCATCGGCTGTGCCTGTTCTGAGCAAAGAGAAGATAGTCAAGCCTGATTCTGGCCAGGCTTCTTGTTTTTGGCGTGGCATGTTTGGTAGGAGTGCTTGGCGTCGCCACACGACCATGACATACAAGAATGATCACCTTTGGAACACGAATCCTTGTTGGGGCACCCATGGCTCATGTTGAAATCAAAGCATTTCGGTTTGTTGTCACGAGTGCGTGGATTCAAACCGCGAAGAGGCGCAGGCATGGAAACAGAAGGCAGCTTGCCTTTGCCTTTGCCTTTGCCTTTCGAAGTTTTGCCCTTGTATGGACCATCACGTTCTGAACGAGGTCGATCGGAGTTCTTCCCATAAGGCGAAGGTGTAGTAGCCTTCGAAGATGGGGCCACAGAAGGAGCTTCCGGGCGAGGGAGCAGGTGAAGAGAAAATTCTGGACTGACCATGATCTCTTGGATGAGGACATCCACTGTCTGAGGCGAGATCTCAATGCCAGCTTTCTCCGCCAATTTGGTCCAAAAGAATTTATCGGCTTGAATGATCTGTTGGAGGCTGGCCGCAACATAACCAGTTGGAGCTTTAACTGAAAGCTGAGCAAGAAGCAATTGATGGTACTTGTTGATCTGAGAAAAAGAGGTAACTTGAGCAAGATCCAAGGCCAGGGCTCGTCTAAGAAAGCAATTGGAGAGCTTCAAAGCATCTGAAGTTGAGGTATTTGGCAACGATGATTTCTTCGATGTAAGGCGACCC